TTCTGTTTTTCCGAGTAATAAAATTAAAGAGTCGATTCGTGAAAGTAATTCGACACTTTTGAAACGTACGAGGGTTCGTTTTGCAATTCAGAGAGCTTCGTAGTACAGTGTAAAGTCACTTGGTTAAGAGTTACTGCACATTAGAGTTAGCGTGCCTCTTTCATGGACGAACAAACGGTTTCAGCGTGGACGTTCATTTCAGGGAAGGTTCGAGTGAAATTGCTTCGAACTCGTTAGTGGAAATTAAAGTCCAGTTCAAAGTGTCGTTAGTTCGGTTTAATTGAGTGGCCTAGACAGTTTACTCTGCCGAACATGACCACCTCCATAATTTAGGGAACTTTCTATACGTGGGAGTGCGCCGTGTTCCGACTTTAACAGACTGATATATTGAATGTTTCTCAACGGCTGTCAGTTGTTTCGCGTGGAATATTAGATTTATATAATTGGACGTTGCAGTGGAGAGTTAATTCAATTTCACTATTCTGCTACCCTATCTGCTACTTCTTATCTTTTAATTATCCGTTTAAGAAGACATACTTTTGGTCTTTCCAGATCCATACATCGCCTGGGTCCTTATCTAGGCTTCTCTTTTACTGGTGTGACACTTCCCGATGCCTTTTCTACTTTGACACCGTTATCTTTACGATCAAACTTCCGAATTTTATTCCTAAGGTGACTCGAAGCTTGTGACTCCATTATAGCAAATAATACCGCGAGTCGTGCGACATAACGCGGGGGACCTATTCGTTTCAAATGTTTATCGAGCATCGACTACGCAAACTTTTCGTCGTATCTCACAAGCACAAATACCTCGGGGAAAGGTATAACTCACGCGGCATCTCTCGCGCTTCTCCAAGTAAATTTCCAGATGTACGTAAAAGGAGCTATCTGGAGCTATCTTCCCCCATCGGATCGAGCGAAATTTGTTTGAAGCTAAAACACCTTGCTTCGTTTCTCTGTTTGATACGAGTCACTATGATTATTATAGAAATTCAGCGTATATTTTTTATGCGTTAGAAACATTATTTCTTTGATATTTTTAATTCTTTTAATTCCATGACCCTCGCTCCAGAATAGAATCGGATCGATTCTTCGTATTTTTAAATTAACCTCATAATTTATATCTCTTCTCATCAATGATCCCCCACGATTTGATTTAATTTCGCATTGATTTCTAAGCGAATTGCCAGAAACTACCACTTTTCGAGATCTGCTGCAAGGTAATAAAGCTCAACACCGGCCTGGTGTTTCTCCTCGCCCATGTCTTCCGTTTTCACGGTTCTCTATCATCGTCCAGCTCGCGTTACGAACGTAATCTGAGAGAACGCGTTCCTCAGCGAGTACGCAGCGAGTCGTAACGCAAGCTGTTCCACTTCGTTTTCCGTTTCCGTCGCGCTGGACGAATTTCAACAGCCGTGTACCCGCGCATTTCGTCGAAACACGAACAGTTTCTCAGCAACGAGTTCGGCCCTCGGTTGAAACGTCTCGAAAAGCTTCGAAGAGGAACGCGTTTCCATCCTCGTTAACGAAACGAGAACGTGGTTCCACATTTGGGAAAACAAAGCCGGAACTCCATTTCAACGCTTTTTCCTCGTGACGGCTAACTTGTTCTCCAGGCTGGGTTCTAATTCCTTTGAATCGAACAATTAGAATTTCATTCGCAGCGTGTGAATTTTTTGTCATTTTTGGGACTAGTCTTGTTGTTTCTGAAGTTTGTGTGCTTCGAAAAATACTTGAAATTTGAATATTTATTAATCCTGTTTGCGTTTGAACAAATTTCATCCATCTAGAAAATATTTATATATTGAGCTGAGTTGTGGTGTATATTTTATAAAGCAAAGATGGAACGGTGATAAATAGTATATACACGTGTTATTCAGTCTATCGTGTAAATTTGATTAGCAATATTATTTTTAGTATTATTTTTCCCGATTTTGTTAGAATCCCACATATGTAACCTTCCCTTAAAACTATTACGGAATCTCTTGCGCGTCTCAGACTACGAAGGACGTATTATTCCCGAATGACTTCTCTCGAAGCCCAGACAATCACATTTTTAGTCGTTCTTTGTTCGAGAATCGTTCCCATCGGGAATCGTTTGTCAGCACTTCGCGTCCTCGAAGCGGTTAAGCTCCCGTCGACTTAACGTCGATATTTTCGGGATACCTCCAATGTCCACGTTTTCCGCTGATTTTTCTTCGGCGAGGTTGCTCAGATTATCGAGATGCTTTGTCGGTGAAATTTAAATCCGATTAGACGTTAATTAATGTTGCACACGGAAGCACGGATCCGAGCTCTAATCTCCTCCGAACACGATCCTCCCTCTGGGCCACGGCTGTTCGACAAGGTTGATTGTTAGGATCTTTAATCCTCCACGCGATTGAAGATAATTCGCGAATGCCGGGAAAAACTAATCGAATGAGAAGAGCGCAAAGAATCGGAGCGATTCGAGAGTTCATGTTCAAGTTCAGAACATTTTTACGTAAGTTAAAACTCGTTGAAAATATTATGTGGGAAGCGCGAGGCTTTTTTCCAACAATAATTTTTCATGCTAACGTCGAAAGGTGAATAATAGATGCATACTTGCAGGGATACTCTAACTGATTGATAGCTTCGGCTCATAACAATTACGTAGTATATATAAGCGTGACGTGACCGAGGGAAATGATATCACTTTTAAAGGACGTTCCAAAGAAATGTCCTCTCGTATTCTATGGGATCGAGCACCTGGAGCAATTGAACTACTTTTGCGATCTTAGAACTACTTGAGAGAATGTAAAAATCCTCCAAGATAAAAACTTCGTCGAAAGGATAGAGATTCGGCCCTTCCGAGAGATCAAGTGTCATCAAAGAGAGTCTTCCTTTTGAAGGATTACCTTAAACGAGGACAGTCGATCTTCAGTTAAATAACAATACACACTTCGAGGACTAAGTGGACGATAACACCTCGATGAAATTAAAAGATAATAAGTTTACGGGCTCGAACTAGCTATCAACATCATCTCCGTTTTTCCATCCTCAGACCTATACATACTGCACTTGATATAATTAATGAAGGTTCTTCTCTGTTTTCAATCATAATTTTTATATATTAAGTTTAGTAAGCTCTTTGCATATGTTAATTTAATTAAATACTAACATGTACAGGTCTGAAAGTGGCTATAATACAAAGCTGACAAAGAACGTTCCAATAAACAAGAGTCCTGAAACCGTTTGTCCTCGAGACAGTCGAGCAGTGCGTCGAATAATATTTAACTTGAAACCATGTTGTTTTAAATCGACCCTAAGTGTCCCAAAAAGGATTCCTCAGCCCCTTCCCAACCGTATCGATCCTCCTCTTGTTTGATTGAGCGAAGAAAGGAAGACTAAGATGTCGTTTCTGCGTAGGAGGTGGTAACGAGTAAAATAAATATTGATTCTCGCGTTTCTAATGTTGCCTATGGACGGAGCCGCGCATTCATTGTGATCGAATTGTAACAATAGGAGTGAATTCTGTCGCAGGACGACAAAAATAATTCACTCGAAAATATTCAATCGATAAACAGTTATTCTTGGCGATTCAAGCTGACAATAAGTAGAATCAACGGAAAGAATAAAGTGGAAACTGATATATTAATTTTTTAAATTCTTTTATGACGAACCTCTCAATTTTTCGTTTCACAGTCATTTTCACAGAAGGAACTTCAAGTGACTCGAATTTGCCCACTCTCGATTTTACGGCACGCGAATTAAGACAGATGCGTCGTTTAGGATCGATCGCTCTCAAGGGAGAAAATTCAGAAACTCTGGCTGGCGCATTGGATTTCTTGGGGAAGTTTTCCAGTCCGTTTCCTCATCGGTGGTTCGAGTTATCGGCTTTGTCGCTGTCTAATTTGCCCTCAACGAAGTTCCCTCTGGGTCATCGTGTAGGTCGAGCCAAACTTTTAAGCAGTTGAAGAAAAAAATTTAGAAGCTTGAACCAACCGTGGTTCGCTCAGGTAAAACTCAGAGAACCCTTCTCGAGTTCGGCCAACTTGAGCGCATTCCTCTACTCAAACTGTGCAATTACGTCCAACTCGCTTCAAGCTTCTCCTTCCATGTCTGAAATTTGAATTCCGAACATCGGAGAAATGAAGTCAGAAATCCTTAAAAATTTCCTGTACATCTAGCGTTCGATGGGAAATAAATCCCGCTAACGTGCACAGTTTAGAACGCCGATTATTCGGATCTTTGAAGAAGGGAATCATTCTCCCACATCAAATTTCCAATTAAACTTTAATAACATCTATAGAGGAACTGGTAAAGTATTCGAGGTACAATGAAAAATAGCAGCTATTAAGAAATTCGACAGCTGATGAATATAACCGAACATTCGAGGATCCATGATCCTGGACGAGTTCCAAGAAGCGAGTCCTGGCAGACCAGTTTTGGTCATATTTCAAATTGGCAAACGAATTGCTTCCCTTTTTTTCTTGGGAACCAGCAGAGGCACTTTGAATTAAAGCAACCGCTGATTGGCGGTTTTTTTTGCGGTTGACAGGGTCACCACGTTGTCGCGAAACATTGCCAAATCCCTCTAATTAGTTCAATTTCATCGACCGATCGCTTTTCTTTAGTTTTCGGCGCGCTGGCGTCGCTCCAAACCATCGGTGTCTGCGGCTACGGATTCTGTTGCACGCAAGGGGATGAAATGGCGAGGGAATGGCGCAGTCATGGACGATTTTAGGCTTTCAAACGTTCGTAGCGAAGGGGATGGTATAAATTATCGGGTTAATCGGATGATTCGGTTCGACTCTGCAGCAAAGCTGGACGAAATTTCAACTGGGGTTGTTTTTGTTTTAAATTTGGTGTACGTGATTTTGGGAAATAGACGTCTTGAAGTATTAATAGAGTTTATAGGTTTGTTTAGAAAATAGTTGTCGTAAGAAAGAAGGTATTTGAAGCTTTCACTGGTTGGTTTTTCGTAGTTAATATTAATAAGATATTCGACGTTTCTCTAGCCTTGCTTCTTGAAGACTCACCGAGGAATCCTTGTATCGCTCCCAGGGGCATCACGAAGAGACTGACGAGAAGGTCGGCGACGGCGAGCGACAGAAGAAAGTAATTCGTGACGTTGTGCAGCCTCCTGTCGAGACCCACGGCCAGGCAGACCAGTATATTGCCCAGGCCACCCGCCACGATGAACACCGCCACGAAGAGGAAGCTCCATTCGAAACGGCGGCTCCTAGTCGACGAACTTAATTTCGCTCTGTGCGAGCAGGACACCGCGAGATCCACCGTAGTCGCATTCTCCGCTGGCGTGCATTCCAGGATCTGCGAACGCAACGAGGTCGAGGGGAGATTTCATCCAGACCTTGCTGACGCAAACGAGTGTACAATTTATACTTGCGAGGACCTTCGCCAACGTGCTGAATATTCAATCGAATTTTTCCTCGTTTCTAACGTTACGAATACCCCTGGTACCTTCTACCACTAGTTAAAAAATGTTGGCGATCAGATACCACGGGAATGTTTTGGTTTCTTTTTTTAAAGGAAGGATAAAGGATCAAAAAGATAGCAAAATTGGGGTAATGCTCCCGAATTAGAATACTATTCATAATCATATAAAATACACATAAAAATTTGCAGTTGAAACTGTTGTCTCGCTAATTGAATAAAACCGCAAATAATTATGGCACAACAATGTATTTCCAAACTTACGTAATTTTATTCATTAAAATGGTCTCTAGTGTGTGCAACAGCTGGTCCCGAACGTATATACAGACCACGAGTACCGCTGTTGTAAAATTTACCTGTTTCGATTAAAAAGTCAAACAAACCCCGTGTTTTCTAAATATGCCAATGTGGTGCACGTTTTCTGAATAAACATCAATGGGCTAAATATCTCGAAGAGTAGATTAAGTAAAAGGTATCGCAAATAAAATAAAATTAAAAATGCAATAGTTTGGTAAAGAATAACTGCACAATTTATATTCAATGAGACGAGGCAGGAGAGCTTCAAGGACGTAATTATGTTCGATAGAAGACGAGCATTTTTCTCAGGCCGTCCCACGTCTCGGACGACCGGGAAACGAATCTCGAGCTCGCGTTAATTAACGCAATTCCCTGGCCGAGGGTAGGAGGGAAGTGCATCGCGTTTGGGTTAATGAATTTTCATTTCTGCGGCGACCGAACGCTCGAAACAGTCCAGACGTTCCAAGCAGAGCTGCGGAACTTTCCGAAAACGTCAAGGAACTTCGCTTGCGAATGTTAATCGTCCGAGTTAAACGGATTCGCAACTTGCAAACGTTGTTACGCGTCTTTCTGGGGAGATAAAGAGTCCGCAGAGAATAGTTCAAGAAAAAGACGGGGTGAATTCAAGCCGTCTCGAAACCGAGTTAATCGTGTTTCGACCGACTTACGTCATTTTACGTGCTTTTAATTCGCGGGGGAGTTTCATCAGCTTTGCGTAACTGGATTCATCTTGAGGAGAAGTGAGGATCAAAGAGGAACTTTCAATTAGCTTCTCATAGTTTTATACCTCCAGATGAGTTAAGACTACGATTATCAGAAACTTATTAATTTTCAGAAATTGAGAAAAACGTAGAAGTGGTCTGCATGCGGTGAAGTCACATGTGCTTCGAAACCTTCGAAGCAAAGATCCTCAGCTCCCTATATTGAGAATGCCAAGAATCCTAAGAGTTCTGAGAACGCTACGAATCCTAGGAATCCTTGGTATCTTTGAAATCCTCACCTCGTTCTCGAACGCCGTCTCGTTGCACTCCCTGAACCTCGGTATCCTCGAGAGGAAGACACCCTCCACGCTTTCCAACCCGCTGAGAACCAGTGACACGTTCACGTCGCAAGAGTAGTCGCAAGGTCTGCAGAGCAGCGTCATCGACGAGGTGAAGGTGCCCTTGTCCGTCGTGCAGAGGTGATCGAACCCCAACAGACCAGCCCCGCACTCGTCCACGCAGCCCAAGAAGCTGTCGTTGCAGGGCACCTGGTGGAGCATCGCCGTCAGATTGTTCGTCCAGGCGGTCAAGTTCCCGTCCATGGTGTCCTTCGAGTTCCACCCTTACGGAGCTACATCAGCACACTTTCACCTGGACTCCATCGAAGGACGATCGTTCACCAGCGTCGAGGCATCCTCGACGCCAGGGCACTTTCTCCACGTGCCTGTTCGTTTCCACGGATACCGAGCCTCGACTTTGTCCCTCCCTCCGCATAGTAGATCGAAGACGGTTAGCCAGGCGGATTCAGGAGCGCACCAGGCCACGGGACAAGTCGTGTTGATGGCATGGGAGACCAGTCCTGGAAGAAAAGCAGTTAGTTGTTGCAGGTTGGTTTAGTGAGGCTCGAGACCAAGGAGGAGGAGGGTCGACTTGGCCTCCTCTGGTGTTAATCTAAGTTTGCAGGAGGATAGATTACAGGCTTCTGTTGCTATATATGAAATATTGAATGTCATAACTCGACAGTTTTAAAGCAAGCAATTTGAAAGCAATCTAAGTCTTAGGAATCAATTGAAAGCATCGTCAGTGGAGGCCCACAAGTTCGCACAGTTTTTCATTTCGAGAATATCCGCAAGAAGCAGCTGTCTATCCAAATCTATCCGAGTCTCAAGCTTCATCAACGTTACCAATGCTACCACGTCATCCCTAACACAGAGCTGAGAATTCCTACCCCTGTCTTACCTTTCCAACTTCGTAACGCAAACACGATGTGGATGGTCGAAGTCCCCTTCTGTTAGGCGGCGCACGCTGCCTCGTAAAAGGCGCCTCGTTCCTTGCATCGCTTTCAAATTGACCTCTGAGCAGAGAACCGAGCGGGTTAGGAACAGGATACACGATCACGACCCCCGCAGGAGGGGGATGGTGCGTTTATTCAACGGCGATCCTCGTTTTCCGGAGCGGTTTATGGATTCTTCAGGTCCGACTTTACGACTGGCTGCGCTACTCGCGTTCAGGGGTGTATTATTCGGCCCTCTCCTCCATCTGGAACAAACGATGACAGGTTCAACTTCTCCCCGAAGGAATCGATTTATTGCCCCCTGAAATTATTAGTCGAACCGGTTCCCCGGTTAGGGTCTCGGGTACTAGTGGATCAGGTATACCCGCGGAATTGGCAAAAAAAAAAAAGAATATTCGGCTGGAGAGGATAATTGGATAGGGGTAGTTTCGACGGGAAACTCGAGTGGCGGCTCCCAGAGGAAACGTGAGCGTCAGGATTCATCTTTGGCGAAAAGTGGAATGGTTTTTAATCTAAACAAAGTATACTGATTTACCTCTTTATAATATTCGTATAAATAAGAACTGTATCCAAAAATTTGTAAATGGTTATTTAATTGGCCGTGGTAGGTTTAGTGTTAATCATTCTATATGCTAAATATAAAAATTCATGATTCTTGATCTGAGACGATATTACCTAGTTTCAGAGAATTTATGATCAATCCACCGCGTAAAGAGAATTTCCTTGAACGAGTATTACAAGGAAGGAAAAGGCATGCATAATCCATCGATCACTTTCGGTTTCTCGCCATTTTATGGGGAAGGGGGCATGGAGCCCTGTGGTCTTTGATGTCACAGATGGAATATTTATCGAGGATTATAAATCACCGAAAGCATTTCAGGAATCGATGCTGATCCCAACGTGGAAATAACAAAGTCGAGGAACCTTCGGGGATGTTTTCTACGTTCCGTCGCTTATATTTTATTCAAGTGGCGTCGTGGCCAAGAATCCAGGCTATAATAATATTGCATCGATCAGTAATAAAGCGAGCTTAAGGCGACACCGATACGTATCTGACCGAATTCGCTCGATAAATCACAGACGCGGATAAAACACAGTGACAGCCGCGATAAGCCGTCCCATTTATGGATTTCGCTAGTTTTCCTGGATATGCCAGGAAAATATTGTTTTCCCTTTCGTTTGCGTTTTCTGAGATGTCAAAGGCTACACGACAAATATCAGGGATGTCGACAACAATTTTGTCAGCACTAAGATACAGCAGACACATAGTAATATTAACAAAATTCCTCGACTTGTAATTTTTATATCTTATAACCGAAACAAAGTCGTTGCCATCCCTAATAGTGATCCCTCCAGAGGTGACACGTTGAACATCTTCTCCTCTGGTTGGAAAGTTGGCAAGCAAAATGGCACAGGCCTCCATGTTTACGCGATTGAAGCGACCTTGCAGAGAAAAATAAACGTGTATATCCCAGGCGTTACCACTCCATCTTTCTCAAAGAATCTTTCGAGTGTTCAATCGTATCCAAAGAATTTCAAACTATAGACACTTAAGAAAAATGTCATAGTGTAAGAAGAAAAAGGATGTGCGTTGGTCCTGTTTACGTAAGTTACGTCTGAGGTCGGCTGGATCCCACAGGAGCAAGCATGTTTCAATTTTTAGCCGACGGGTTAACCGTGGGAGGAGAATCGCGATCCAAGTTCGTGATCAATTTTTCACCAAAGCCTGATAGATTTTCCTTCCGCTCGGAAAATCCCCTTTCAGCGTGCCACGATTTTCGTAAAATTCCCAAGGAAAGGGCGTGCATCAATTACAAGAGGCTGGTTTGAAACTTTTTTCCCGCGAAACTGGGTCCTCGTTGCGTTTGTGAGAAACTTTGGCCAAGTATCGACACCGATTCACGCCATGGGACGCGTTTCAAACGTGTATGAATCACGTGAAATATTATTGCTTCCCCAAAGGTCGTATTTATGGCCCCTGCATCGCACTACGTCATGTCCAGACTGTAATATTAAAATCCATGCACCGCCAATGGTCCAATTGACGCCACAATATGATGCTTCATGAAAATTGTCACTTTGAAGGGAAAATTCTGGGTACTATTATTGGTTCTATTCTACAATTCGTATTTAAATTCAAGGCATAAGTGTTCCAGTGCTCGACTATAGGTGAAAAATCGTTTGTTAAGGACGCGTTCATCCTTTACGCTCTTATTACGTCGAACGTGATTGTTGCTGATTATGATCAGCGACTGTTACAACGCGAGTTAATTCCAATCCAGTTACGCGACAGAGTTTGAGGGTTGATTCATTGTGAGCGCAATATCCTGGAGTTAATAGAGACACTACGGCTTCTGTAGCTTTTGATGAAGTTGGGAACTGTTTACCCCGCCGACCGCGGATGCTTATCAGTTTCTTTAACGACGGAAATTCGAATTTAATTTACGATATTGCCCCGTACCGAAGATTCCAAACTTTGCGAACGCGTTTATTCGACGAAAAACTTTAGAAGCAAATATTCGCTAGCGGGGAATAACATTGCCAGAACGATTTGAGATTTTTTTGTGAGAGATGGTTTCAATAATTTACGAAGCGAATTGGTTAAGTTACTCCAAGAATTAAAAATGTAAAATTTACTCGAAAGTCAACGTAGGTATTAATAAAAATTGAATTATTTATATTCTTTGCTACAGGATACTATCGAGTGTCTCGTAATTTTTCTAAATTCTGCAATGATCGAATATCTGCTAGATATCCGCGACATCGCCCTCTTTGTTGTGATAAAGTTACTTTCTTTATAGGAAAGGCTCATTTCATGGTTCTACGGTTCATTCGAGACGGAATTTCGCGCGAACGTCGCTTTTCGAAATTCTCCTAATTCAATCAGTAAATCTCTGCGAAGTTTTCTCATTTCGCGGAAAGTTCACTTGTTTCGGATTGTTACTAACCGACACGTTTGCTTTTCACTTGTTTCGGTTTGCTTTTCTGCGGTGCGAGTCGAGCATCGTGGCTGCTCAATTTTAAAAACGCCACCGTTGCTACATGCACATTATTGACCAATTTTTTCAAATATTCATATCCCAATAATATTCGACTAATGATATTCGCACAATATTCAAATATCCTTGGAATGTTTAAATTATTAATTTCTTCGAATACCCTGAGCTGCTTCATTCCTGATCATCAATTCAATTTCATCGCCACAGACTCCGTTGAAACTTAATCTCGTATCCAGTGTTTGCCAGATACTCTTTCAACAGCGAACGCCTCGATTATATCTCGAATACCGAGGATCTCGCGGAAATCTGTACATTGAAATCTCCTCGTAAAAGATGCATCGCGCAATATCGAGCATCCTTCCTACACGTCCTCGGTTCCGTCCTTGTTTATATTTCATCCCACGGAATCCTTTGAGGACATGGAGAAAAAGACGGGCAAACATAGATTAAACAACCAGTCTACTAATTCCATACTTCTTGATGCTCTACTTGCATCCAGAAGCTTCTTCAAGCTGGCCTTTGTTTCCTTGCTCTTTAGTCCACCGATGACCAACCATTATTCTCAAGTCGCAGTCCATTGTTTCTGGAAAAGATGACTCTAGACCAGAGTTTGTTTGTTCGTCGTCAAAGAAGCCTAATGAGAGTGTATCGTCGCAGTTCATATTAATTTCAAACTGGACTCCGTTTAATTGTTCACATTCCCCTGTTACGGATGGCGTACAAAAGGACATAGAATCTGAGAAACACGCAACGACGATTCCACGCAAATTCAACTTACAGTCGCATACCTGGCTCGAGGAAATGCACGTCCGTGCTTTGAATTTTCAGGAACCACATGATTCATGCTTTAGAAAATTAAATTGAGAATTCTTGGGATCCTGGAATTCGATCACGTTGTTATTTTTACAATATGTACCGATGTAAGGCGATCTTTTCACGCTCCGTATCCAATTGTTATACCAATACAAGCGATCCAACAATGATTCGACAGAAATAGATAGCGTTTCGCTCGAAAGTGTTCGAATGCTTCCGTGATCCTCGGCATAAAGTGGCCAATAGGATTGTTAAAATTGCTTCGCTGGACCAAAGGTATAACTCGGAGGCAATACCAGGCACTTATATCCGTTCTCATCGCGGTTCTCAATTATTTCCTGTGGACATAACAAAGGGTTCCAAGTTCCTCGTGCTGGAATGGTCAGCATCAATTCCCGCGCCTTTCTTCTCCGTGCAAATGAAAAATCCTTTGACCTTTTCCTGGAACGGGCCAAGAAGTTGGAAGGAAGAGCTCTCCATTCATTTCACCGAGTTCGAGTTTGCACTTTTAGTTACTGCTAATCAGGACCGCCTAATTAAAAGCGTCTTATTTCGAATGCGAAACTTCTTCCATCTGATGGTGCGCCGCGCGCCGTAGGTAATTTCACGCAGACTGTTTGTTCTTCTAGCTCGTAAACCCTTCAACCATTTATTCCTGGGCGAGGAATCTCGTTTTTGAAACGTTGAATTAACTATGGGACCTATAAGTCACTCGAATGGCCGTTAGAATATTTATCCCTGGCAGAAATTTTCATGGTCGACCGTGGCTCGCGTTGGTCCAGAGAACGCTCCCCTAAATTCGCCGTAGCGCGGTCATTTCGTTAGGTAAATTAGTAACCCCGCTGCATCCCCTAGTAATTAATGCGATCAGATCCAGCGGAAAGTAGCTTTAAATCCCGCTCGAGTTGCTTCGCGGGTAAATTGTGCTTCTAAGCAGATTGATCGACGTTCGACCCGCTGATCGAAAGTGCTGTCGATGGATAACGCTGTTTCGGGGTATTTCGACCGTGATCGATCGACCTGCTTCGTTAGCGCGTCCATTGCCAACTTACCCTTTATATTTTTTTTATATTCAGCTGACGCGAAAATGAAATCACAAAGATATAGAAAAATTGTTTACACGTGACACTCGAGGAACGAAGAACTCGACAATGTAAGAAAAGAAAAAAAAAAATGGGGAAACGCGTTAATTTAATAACCTGAAAATGCGAACTTTGGAATTCCGGAAGTTTGCAGAGCTGGAAGTATAGCGATACGAAAATGCACAGGAGCATACAAACACGCGGGAAAGGATAAACACGGTTCCACGGAACCGAGGGGAAGCGAAAACGCGGCGGTCCGGAGATTTAGAGATTTCAAAATACAAATAGGAAGAAATATAGCCGGGACGCGAAGGTCTAGGGATTCGAAACGGAAATATAGATATACGCGTAAACACAAAAGCAAGCAAACATAACAACACGAAGGGTACGGGGGATGCACATACTGGGATGGGATCGATACTGAAACGGAGCGTCCACTTTCTGGAAATTAAAATATTCGAAAGCACTTATCTTCTAAGAGGGAGACATACATTTTCCATTGCTTATTCGTTTAAGGATTGAGACTTCTTGCTAACCTGTTGCAAACAATGCTTCGTATCTTCCACGTGACATCTTTCAATCCCCGTCAAGCTTTCGTTCTTTAACCGGAGAGATTTATTTATAATTCTAACACCAGTGAATAATTTATTGGGAATCTTCTTTCCTTTCTTTTTACAGTAAAGCGTTTTCAAACCCGTTTAAAGTTGAATGATGGCCCTTTACATTTAAATCCAATAATACATGTAACAATTGGATATAAAAACTGTATATAAATATTTTCCCCAAAGGCACTACAATCCATAAGTTTGCGACAGTATATTTATCAAACTCAGCTTTCAACTTATAATTGCCCCTGCGTCAACTTTCCACACCCCCGAGCAACGATAAACTCGCCTTTTTTTAAATCGTCCGTCCCGCTGGGGGTTGTTGGGGCGTTTTTAAACGTTTCATCTGGAAGATTTCTAATTAAGAACCACCTTGTGGGTCGGGTCCGTTAGCCAGGTGCGAGACTCCCTTACCAGAAACGCTCCAGCAGTCTCGCGCGTTGTTCAATTACACTCGCAATTAGCCAGGCGATAAAGACCGACATCTCGCAAACGAGATTTCCATTTCCAGGCCGTGAAGACATTTGCAAGTTGGGAAAGCAACGAGACGATGGACTAACAACCAAGGGATCGCGTTATCCGAGCTGACTTAGTATGGATCTTGTTACGCGGATTCGTGAGGTTATTACTTTCCCATAAACCGACGAACATTCCACGTCCCATCGTTTACTGCCTCAAGTAACCAAGGCCAAGGTTACCAGCGATAAAAGTTGTCGTTTGAAAATTGTGTGTTTAGTGAAGTTGTTATTAATAAACTTCTGTTATGTGAATTATTTATTATTGAAAGTTTCTACTATTTCAAAGTCCTCTTATTTCAACATAACATGGGAGTATCATATCTGCGTCGACATTTGGGACGATTATCTTGCAAAACTGATTTAAAGTCGTCAAGATAATTCCACGACCCCAAAATTGAAAAATTGAGACTCGTCTATGAACAGTCTTGAGAATTCGTGAGAAATCCAGCAATCTGGCCGAACCAAATAGGACCTACCAAGATTGAGTATCCCCATCGGGGACCTATCGATTCTGCTCATAAATTAAGTCGACGAACTAGCGATGTCTCAGCTTACTTAGCGTTCAAATATTAACTGTCGAAAGAGAGAAGCATTCGTCACTCCCGCGTTAGAAATCAGATCTTCATAAAGTATTGACAATTACAGAAAATCTAAAAATAGATGAGGGTACCAGAATAACCAGAAATCTCACAGGATCGTAATCATTCATTTTTGCAAGGTGGAACAAAGTTTCATTGTAATAATAGCTGAACGTACAATCAATGAGAAAATTCATTCTTTATTTAGATAAGGATTTTATTCATCTGTGGTGCAGAAGTTATCACGGACAAAGTGCATCGGCCGTTCTGCTGGTGCGATGGGGGGAAAGCTTGGATTCATTTGATTGGACATCGACTGACGGGAGCGGGATACGGATGTAATTTGTTAACGGGGCTCGCACGGAAAATAATACGACTCGATAACGAGATATGACACATCAGGTTACTAAGGCCAATGACAGTGTTTCGTGTCACAATGAATTCCTCATCTCGAGAGCCTTTAGAACCATAATTTTAGGTAATCTTTTTAAAAAATGCAAAATTAAAGTCGGTTTCCTAATTTTTCTACCGTCATTAATCGTCATAAAAAAAATAGTAAAGGAAACTTTGATTCGCCTCGCGCACGCTGGCACTAATTTTAATTTACAATCGCAGAAACGAACAAAATTTCGTCGTCGCCCGACGAACATTAACACGCACGCGTCTGCTGAACGTATTTATCAAATTATACGTGTATGAATTATACGCACGAAAGCTGAATAAATTTTCAGCGAGGTCCGAAATTGAATTACACGACAAACACACGACGCATCCAAACAGTCGTTCTCTTGAAAAATGTTAAATATTCATCGTTCGTCGCTGTTTTTTTCGGCCCTTCAAACATCGTTTTCAACCGTATACCTGGACGTTGATTAGCCCTTTGGCATTTGTGCAACCAAAATGACATGAACGCGACAAGAACGTGACGCAAGGCAATAACCGAAACAGCGATACCGATGAAATTCGACGCTGATCACACGCGGTATTCTGATTGTTTTTTCAATTATTTTTCTATCATCGCGACGAACGCGAGCAATGAGAAATCACACGGAAAATGTGGTAGTTGTAACGAAAAAGAATAATTTCAAGGTGGCACAAAGTACAATTTTTAATGTTGACAGATTATTCGAGATTTAAGGATAAGAATATCCTTCATCTACGAATCTCAAACGTAAAAATATTCTTTTTCGTTTGAGGGGGTGGCTCTCAGAAAGTTTGGAAACCTCTGACGTGAAACTTACCCTTCATTGAACATGTACTCTGATTGTTTTCAAATTTAATAATGACAACACGTTGTTATCACTATTTCAACCCTTAATTCTATTTCATTCGACGAACGTTCTACTCACATTCTTCTAGCGACTCCTTCCTCCGTGTCAGGAACTTCGCCAATCCTCTCTTTAAATCTTCTTACGTCGCAGCTGAATTCTTCTACACGGAATCTCCTGGTACCCCCGCAACGTTCAAGTTCGAGCAGACAACGTCAATCACGTTTCACAGCACCATAAGACGGCCGCAATCTCACTGACGGGAACCGCCGAAGAATCGAGGGATCACCGATAATCGATAGTCAAACAATCGGGATCGGCGGAGCTTTCAAGATGTCCACGGAGACAGGTTGCAAGTGCTTTAGCGACGGTACGGTGTCGATTTAAATTTCAAATTGTCGCCAAACATTCAGCAAACACAATAACGATCGATTCACCTAGCTTTCTCGATAGGTCCGCGACGCGAGGCTCGAGTTCCCGCTGAAAGATATGAATCTGCGAATCAGATCGTTAAGTGACGTTATTAAGTCTCGAGTGGCCGTTATGGGGGGTGTTGGATATAGTGTGCTATCGAGACGTAGTGTAGGGTCGTTTAAGCTTTAACCCCTTCGTGCTAGATGCTGAGGAGATATTACTTTTCTTCATTTTAGAGTCGTTAGTATGTTTTGTTGCAAATTTAATGGCGACTGAAGAAGCAGATGAAGGAAGTGATTTAGGTTGTTTTCACGACTGTAGTAACAGTTTTGGGAGTCCGGTTAAAAGAGTATACTAATGAATGTTGAATGATTGTCAGTAAAGGAGTTAAAGGTATATTCTGCATGAAATTAGCCTTGAGAGGACGTCGCGAAGGTTGACCATTCTTTTGACGGTTTTAGATTTCTTTTGCTCTCGTGGCGCGCAGATGCAGTTGACCGCCACGTTTTGAACTATGTTTACAATAACTGAAATGACTATAGACAAAGTTTTATTCGATATTTCTTATAAAGAAACGTGCCCCAATTCTAGTACCCTCAGTCAATGGAACCTGTCCGCAGGGATTTTTAAAAATTCTGTTTAGATAGATTTTAATCTAAAAAATTTCGGAATTTGCGAGGTTCGAGAATACCTGACTGGCGCGAAATTTGCAATTTTGGAGCGCTTGGAATTTCAGCATAGCAGACTGTGAGTTTCAGTTTTGAACAAATGGAAACTAGAAACTTCCGACATTTCGTAATCGAGCATCCAGCATTGGAAATTTCAGGCGTTCACTTCCATCGGTTTTTGGAAACTCTACTCGTTTAGAGACTAATTTTGAGGTGAATATCCGATTATCGAAATTCCTGACGCACGGAACGCTCGCTATTCCGACGACGATGGAATTCGAGGATTTTCGATTTCTGATATTTCAGCTACCCCAAAATATTTAGACTATTGGCACTCCGAATATTTTTATAGATAACCCAGCAATTCAAAATTCACGTACTGAAATATTCATAAGTACAATAACAAAATACGACTCACAATTCTGCAATTTCCAAAAGATAAATCGTCCCGTTCAGAGCAACAATTGTTTCCAGTCGCATTCATTCTGAAGTTTCGGCGATTCTCGAAACTCGATTTCGATTTTTTTTTTTTTTTTTTTGTTTCTTTTATTCAAGTAACGTCACAAAAATTAAATTTGCACTAACTATTCGCGAGTACGTAATGATTCAATTCCTGCAGCGTTCTTCTTCAATCACAAGATCAATTGAAGGTGATTTATGTTCGTAATGTTTCCAGTGAAGACACGGTCGAAGTACACCTGCCCTAACGCACATCCTCGCGGTTGGGCCGCGTGGATCACACTGAACACTGAACAGCCCGGCGGTGGTTGCGATGGGACGCTAGAGAGGGAGAGAAAGAGCGAGTGCGTCGCGCGCCAAAACTTGTTATCTTTCGATGATTCCAACTCGAATCCAGGTACGAAATGATGGAGTCATATTTGAAATTTTATGAATTAAGCCAGTAATATGTACATAGTACTACATAGTACTACATAGTAAATTTATGATCGAATCGTGAATAAAATGGTATAAACTTGTAGAATTTCTTGCAAATTCCACACAATGACTGAGAAGTTTTCAGTGTAAATGAAGAGTCTCCAGTTCGAGATGTTTTTTAATCTGCTTCAATTTATTTAAAGGAGACAATTCTCTGATTCATTAAATCCGAAGAATCTTAATTACTAAATCCAATGAATCTGTCCTTTTTAATTTTCACGAAGAGATGGACGTTGATTTGCAAACATAATCGAGCAATTATTCCCAGAGAGGAAAAATGGTGGAGATGTCGAGAGCAAAGGACAAACTGTTACGTCTTCCGCCGCAGAACTCCCAGCCGGATAAGAAAGTAAAAGACATGTCTATTTGCCCTCGAATCCTCTCGCTTTTACCTTTTCCCTATTTTCTGATTCCTTTTTAACCCTTTCACGCGATAGTTCGTCACACTCTTCCCTTCGAGTCTCGGTTTATTTCAGCCTGGCCCCTTTGTCGTGCTTTTAACGGGTTTTCTTATCTCCGTGGCTGTCCTTCCTTTGACTGCGTTCATTTTAATTATATTTAATTTTCGAACACTTTCTGATTTCTCGCGACTCAGCACATATTTCTCCTGTTTCCTCGGAGAAAATCTTTGCCTCGGGTTCTCGGTGAAATTTGAAACGCGAGGTGGAGAGGAAAAATAATTCCTTTCGTTATTGCGTTTGACGTCCTTGTCCCCACTTGGAGAAAATAGGAAGAATAAAAACGATTGGAGGATCGAGATCGAGATAACAGACAATGATGTACGTCGATAACGTTCGTGCCGATGTTTGCTAAATTTGTAGCATGACGCACGTGGATGTATTCTTGGCGAAGTCACATTTGATATTAACCCCGAGGATACTTCCTGCTGGATAAACCGGTACCACATCCAATAACTGTGGTGTCGAACATTCCAGGCAGCATGGAATTATAAATTTTAATCTTCCGCGGTGATCTTCGAAATTTCTGAGGTCCACAAGATCCAAGAACGCATGGAACATTAACAAAAATAAATACTTTTTTCCAAAATAACAAATGAAAAGTTACGCATAAAAATCTTTAGTAATTCTAAATAATATATAAATATCTCTATTCCGCCAAGCTTTTACTTAAGAATAGTATCGCATTAGTAACATTAATAAGCGCTGAACTTCGAGACTACATGTCATGGTCTTTTGTTAACATAAGTTTCGGTTAGTTTAGGAACAACTCGATGAGCACCAAGACCATCACTGTCGATATTTTTACCCCGTGGTAACTATGTTCGCAAACTTCCAACCAGTCTCGTCACGGAAATAGGCGCCGTTAAATTTGCAAAATCGAAAAGCGTAAAATTAAAACGCTGAGTTGGATTCCTGATTCTCAAATTAGAACAACTTAATTCTCACTGATCGTTACAAATTATTTCCCAGGGGAAAATGAGTTCCTTCTTATGAATTGGCATCGTTTATTCTCTCTTAATTATGCTATTCTGGACTATGTACACACTCTTTGATAAATCACAAGTCTCTTCGCGTGTAAAAATCGCAGTTTTTCTCGAGACGAAAAATGTTGTAAATATAGTCGATTCCTTGAACGACAGGTCGGAAATGAGCCCCTTCGCGAAAGCGTACAATATTCTATCTCTAAAAAATGACAGCTGACGGCTTCTCTTTAATTTTGTCAATAATACAGAAAAGCGATGCAAATTATTTATAAAAAATAGGTCAAAAAATGACTCCACCCACGGTTCATCCAACCGTTTGAATGTTCATGATTGCTCAAAGATCCTTCGTGTCGCATTTACGCGTATCATTGGCAAATAAACTGCACCGTGAGTTCGCATATTCCACAGGCAAAATGCAGCGCGTGGAAGCATCGAAGCGATTCGCAGCTTTTTCGACCACCTGTCCGTAAATGCCGCGCTAAAACGGACACACATGTTCCTCGTCCCCGCTCTGTCGAACGTGATAAATTTTTGACAGAATTCGCACGCGGTCGGGACCCCCCCCCCCCCCAGCTCATTACCCGTGTCAAGAATTTCTGTCCAGCGGTAAACGTTACTCCCGCTGTAAATGTTGCAAATTGCGATTGCAGTACCATTTAACAGAGACAACACGTCGCGACGCTTTCCAACAGCGCTTTAGTAACGTTTCGGTTGATGGAAATGGTACTGTAAATAAAATCAAATTTTCATAAATATATCGTAGGGATTGTTGAGACAGGATATTAAGTAGAATATTTTGATTAGACTTCATTTTTTATTAAATAGATAGAAACTAGTGGTTTCGTTTGGAAGATACATTGTTTTATTTATCAGCTCTGGCGAAAACGAGCGAAAAAACATCATTTGTCGAGACTAATTGCGACCAAATTTTTTGTACAAATTAGCCCATCCAAGGGAAAGGGTGTCTTAGAATCCACTGAAAAGATCTATAAAGAATGCCCCTGACAATGAGTGATGTTCACGATGTGAGAGGAATTCGTTTCCTCGTTCATAAATTGCGTTTTTATCTTGCCAGTGCTATTAGTCATTAGTCTGTATTCTACGAAATCCCGGCCAGCAGTGGAATGACCTTATTCAAAAATTCTCGTTTAGTACAAGAAAAGAATTCTAGCATACTCCTTTTGCACTTTAATATTAATGCGTGTCCTAAATATTTCTACCTTCGTATTTTCAACATTTTTAACGCCACCTTGACATTCAGTGTCAGAAGAGAGATGCATATTGCAGCACCGAGGTTGGCTCGAAAATACGGGACCAAATGAACGTAAAATCGCGCGTGTAATACGTCAGCGAGGAAGTTGTTGTACCGAAGTTTTACGTGCACGTTAAATAAACAAAATTGTACGTCGGTGAACCGTGAATACGACTGTCCCGTCCTGAAAAACGTGGCTAATTAATTTTATTCGTTCCTCTGTGTTACTGCTCCTGGAACCGTGACTACGCTACTAATAAAAGAGATAGGGGAAAGAATACATGCGAAGGACGATTCCCGAAGTTCGTGTTTAATCTACGAAACACGAACTTACGCCCTGTCCCCTTGTATAATTGAAACTGTCTGAAGTTCTGTCGACGAATTTCAAGGTATCCTGTTTGCCCTCTTTCCCTCCAGATTGAAAGTTCGAGCTCGTCTCGAATACAGACCGCAGAAGTAGTGATTTGGATCCATGTTTCTTTAAAAAATATACAATTTTTTTTATGCGAGAATCGTATCATTTTATTCATATTTTTATCCTTTTCAAAGAAGTGGTGCTTATCTGCAAATGAAACGTAATACTTCAGGGGTGGTATCAATGGCAAATACAAAACAATTTTATCTGCCAATTTACGTACTAAAATTCAATGAAGCTACCCTCTCCCTTCGCGAGCCATACTCTGTGGAAACTTTCCACCCTCGTGGGGAATCTTATTGTTATCATTATTGTTCTCCCTAATTCTCGTGGCGTGGCAATGTTATGCAGAACACGCCTGAAAGTTTTCACTTTGCGGCAGAAAGTTCTCGGCAACTCTCTAGTAAATCGCGAAAGTGTACCGTTAGGACGTAATGGGGTACTTTGTGACTATCCCTTATGGGTGCAACGTAGAGTTTGTAATACCGAGGGTGTAAATTATTCTTACCCTTCAACCTCTTCGTTTAATACTGATTAAACGTACTTCATGTAAATGGGTAAATAGGTAGGAGAATTGTCGAGAATCCGCTAATCCGAGAATAAAATTGTTAGAAAACCAGTTACACAAAGGGCTGTGTACTTACGGTCAAGGGACATTGTAGAAGTATTCATTTCTTATGGACTACTAAATATTTTCCAGATAACTGCAGGGATTCAAGACGTTTTACGTATGCTCGCGTATAGATTAACGTATTAAAACGTTTAGAGCATGAAACATGAGACCACGTTATCTTAAATGTGTTCCACCCTGCCTTGATTTATTAAGGCTCCAGCAAACTTTCGTCGTTCGTGCTTATGACGGACCCATCATCGTGAATTTTAACGAGTTACCCTCTGTAATGATCCCTATTTTTCTGTTTACGCGGATCGGGAAGGAAAATGTGGCATTTGAGGGTACGATAAAGTGTGTTTATTAAGGCCCTTATTAAAGGATACGATAGGACGCACGTTAAACCCTGTATATTACATAAGTTTGCATACTAGTAGATAATTCACCAAATTTTTATGCTACTAACGAACTATTTTTACTTAAAATTTCGGAATAATAAATCGCAGAACAAGAAACGTTACATTTGTTTTCTTTTCAGTATTATTCAGTAGATCCAGTGGTCCAACAAATGAAAACTAAACAACGAAACGAATCAGTTCCAGGATTAAAATCTCTGTTGCACGCTCGAGGTTAATTACAAACTGTCTACAGGCTTTGCGTTATTGATTAAAGCCAGCCACAGTGTCGAAGCATGTAAGCTGTAATACAGGGTTCACCGAAAGCTCGATATCAGTAATCGCTTTGGCGCAAAGTCAAATACTTGTTGCTCGTGGATGAAAGCAAAACGAGAATAAGATCAAAGCGGATTTAACCGTTGGCGCATCACTGGTTTCATTTCAATTATGAATCTCGTTTCGAGAATCCTGAGAATACTTTCATAACAGTCGGTCAAGTATATATAGTGGGCAGAAATTTTAGTAATTAAACACTCTATTCCATATTCACTTACACGCAATTAAACTTCAAACTTCTCAGCTTCGTTAAAACTACAGAGCAACTTTCCGAATATCCGCAGCTAGCTCCCACGCTAACTCTCTTCTTCGAATACTTTGAGTACGAAGTATAACAGTAATTTCATAGGCAGTGCATATTTTAAAACATAAATACGAGACCACGGCAGACACAAGAGAGTCCGATATACAGGATTTATTAAATTATTACAGCTATTATTATATGAGAATACACAATTTTTACATGTACATTATAATATATTACGTATCTCGCTATTTACTCTCTTCTTCCATTTCTCTTTTATACACACTCTTAATTAATATGTTCGTTTCTCTCGCAATACTTTGTTCTGATACAAAAATGAATGATTCGGTCGCTTTATACGACACATTTTTCCTTTCTTTTATATTTGTTTTCTCTCGTTTATAGAACCTTCGAGAATAAATTAAACCGCTCGAAACGGAATTTACACGTAATAGCACTGCTTGTGACCCATTTGCAACTCTCATCCAGAGATGGGCAGAATTCTTACCTGAATAACAATCTGGAATAACGAATAAAAGAATTTTAATTTAAAATAAAATTACACTGCTTGCGAGGCAAAAAAGATAAATTAAATTTGTTAAGTTTCATTTATCGTAAAAAGTCTCTGAAAGACATTAAATTAATAGAAATTTCATCTATGACTCTAGAGAATAATAAAAATTAACAAATAGCTCGATACTGTTATTATTCCAATAAAATTCTGTTCATCTCTGCTCTCACGACCTAGTTCGCGTACACACACACACACACTTGGTTGCTGGACGAAACACCTTTCCCTCTCCTAACCGATATCGCTTCTAACTTTAACTAACTATTATGCCCTGCGTGGATCTACGCGCTCAGCGTACTCCATACATAATGTACAACCTATTACGAATACGCGTCTTTGCATCTTTACATAGTCCTGTCGGCGACATCGACGGTGTCCAACACGATTACACTCGAATCACGCTTACACGGAAAAGAAGCGAATCTCGAGGATGGCAGAATCGTATCGCTCGATCCAAGAACGATTGAAAGCGTAATGGGCTTGTTTCTCGTTACAACGAATTAGCACGATCGATCGACACTGGACACTCGTTTCAAACGATCGTTGTAAACAGCACCCCCATTATTGACTCGTGAAAAGCAACGCGTACTCTTTGTGCAGTCAGGATAACCCTCCTCTAACTCCAAGCTTGTACTCGTCTAAAGTCCTCCGAATTCTCAACTATCGTCAGAATCTCGGTTGTCGTACAAAAAATATCCGCTCGAATATAAAATATACTCTCACGCGTATTGTACATGCCGTTCCTTCGTCTTTGCTTCCTTGCATTGCGCCTGTAAGCTTAGGGTCGCAATCTTGAAAGGGTGGTTAAGCTTTGAATAAAAAATTTCTTATAATTCAATTTGTAAACAGGGAGTAAGTGGATCTAGATAAAAATTAATAGAGAGTTACAAGTCTCCGAATGTAGTTTGACGTGGTAGTCTTTGTTTCTGTTACGAATGCTTTTTGTTCCTGACGATTTTTTACCCCAAGCTTACGGACGTTGACGTACTTCGACCTACAGGTAGTTTAAACATTAAATGGAGATTCGCAGTTAACTCTGGGGGCTGGTTCGGTCAGTAACTTCTAGAGAACACTATGTTCGTTGGCGCGGAACACGCGCGCTTCCTCCTCCCAATCTCCCAGAAGCTTCTTCGCTTACGAAACATCGAAGAGAGAGATGCTGGCTTTGGTATAATCGGTAGTCTCTCCTAAATAACACTCTGTAAATGCTAAATCGATAAAAAATACTATTCTTCCTTGCCTCCTGTATATACATGCGCAACGTTAAAACGTCAGGAGCACGATCGGCGTTGCCCTGGCTAATCTCGGTGGGTCAAAGTTGAAGAGAATGACAAGTCTACCATTCATTTGGTCTGTTCAATTGACTTTTCGTTCGTTACAACAGAAAACGTGGCCGCAAGGCTCCCGAACGAATCTGAGCGAACCGTTCTTCGTTTCGAAAGTGGATGTCCTTAAAAATAACTCCTTGTCAGGCTAAGTCTCTTCAGTTTTGAGCCAACATAGTCGTTCCCCTCGAGACGCACAATCGCGTTAATTGTAAGTTAAACTCGTCGGCACGCACAGGTTGCATTGATCTCGCTGTCGTTCGCAACGCCCTTGAAAAATTGTCATGATCTCGACGAAGTAACGATTAATTGACAGCGGACACCTTAACGTTTGAATCGTGCTAATACAACAAGTATAGTGTTTCCAAGTTGCAGATCAGTGGCTCGATGATGATTTTGAGTTCGATTTCAGTCTAGCACAAAGAGGAGAGCTTTCAATGGAATATAAATTGCAAAATAAAAATGTCCAAAATCACCTTCCACTCTTTCGGCCATTTGAGCCATCGAGTCAGTTTGATCTGCTACTCGAAGCTTAATTTAATATTCCACGTGTGTTTCTAAAGGCGTTCACATCGAAACACGTACGTCTGGAATGACTCACTCCCCTCGATTAAATTCTTCCTCGATTCGTTTCGTACCGCCTCTCGGCAAGAGAATCACTGTTACATCGACGAACACTGAACGCAAATCGTAAACGATCCAGGGAAACTCATGCGGAATTGACGCTTCGCTTAAAAAACAGGTGATTCAGTTTGACAACAGTCTTCGTGGATCGCGAAACGGAACCTGATCGACATTCTCGTCCGCGTCATTCGAAATCCCCCGAAAAAAGAATGTCCAATGGTAATCCAGGTAATAAGGATGGCACCATAAATGTTTCGTTCGGTACAAAAGCGTGATACATAAAAAAGGAATACGAAATCGTACGATTAGTAGCGTCGCAAGAAACCCAATGCTTTCTCGAACTTGGTATAAACGTGTAAAAGCTAAAACCGTTGGAATATTATCTTAATTCCGTTTTATAACGTTGCTTAATTTATCGTTAAGCAAGTGATGCAGGGCTTACGTACATCTATACATATATATAAATATATATGTATATGTGTGTGTATATGTCCACGTATATATGTATATATGTATATATAACGTTTAAGTAGGATTCGTTGAATTTGTTGCGATGTTTTCGCCTTAAAGAAATCCGACCTGTGTTTGTCGTTCGATATTAGGTAATACAAAAAAACATCCTTAAAACGTGAACTTCGATCATGTAAGACGCCAAATACAAAGATATATCTACGGTCAATGTAACGCATTCTATCGATAATTGTTCGCCATGATCATTGTTGTCTGGCACGACTATTTTTTAGACTTCTGGTTCGCTTGAAGCGTGAACACTGGTCGAAAGATCAAAGATTGCGATCGTGTCGTTCAGACGATGTTTCCAAACGGAAAGTTTGAGATCCCTTGGGATTTCGGCAGCCTCTTCATGGTTCATAGGGGTAGGTTTGATAGAGGTCTCTGCGTGCGAGCTGTTTCTTATAGAAAATGATTTCAACTGATTATCAGCATAAAAATTGACTTTACCAAGGTCATTGATACCACAGAGTGTGACACAGTATAGATTCAGACCTCTGTTGATGTACTAATGGCTATGCTGATGTTACAGTCTACGATCTGGGTCTTGATACGGTGATATGTTGGTGTACATTTCTCAAATACTTCCTGACATATTGTACTATGATTCTCAGTGATCATATAGCATAGATTTTGAGAGACGACCCTATAACATGACGTCATCATCCCTGATTCTGTATGCAACTTTGATAGACCCCCAATTAATATATCTGATACAACCAACTGATATGGCAGCAAGACGTTGAAACCATATTTCACGCTCAGAAGCCTCTACCAGATCTGCCAAGAAGGAAGGTCGTTTACAAAAATGTATTAACAACAATTACTGCATTGCAACACCATCGAACGCAGTGCAGGGAGGTAGAGTCCCACGGGATCAGTTTATGGTTCCTATCAATTGAGTTATAATTACAGCTGCTTTCTTCCTAAGTCTGATATTCGAAAAGGCTGCAGCTTGACCAGTCTGACGTGGCGTCCTCTGTCGCCAACGATTCCAACGTTTGAAATAACATAGAAATGTAACATAAATGCACTGAATCCCATTAAATAATTTTAGTTTGCTCGACCACTGTTCTATTATTCAACTATCCAGACAAATTCTTTATCCCTGAGTTTGTCCGAGTCTACTTCTTTAAGACGATGAAACAAAACGAAACGTACAACGCGTACCTTCTCCCGTGCGTTGACCAGAGTGTCAAAGTAAGCTAGATCATAATTCTACAGAAACAAAAATAAATAGTCCACGTGTCTGATTCGACAAAGGCGACCGTCCTCTCTTCCCCGAGTGCTCAGTAAACACCTACAACAAGTCTGCGACCGATAGGAGTAAATTTTGCGCGAATCAACGTGTAACACTGGCTGCATTACATTATATACTGGCCATGTAATTAAAGTTACAGAAACATCTGTCCGTTTACAGTCCCTTCCAGAGACTTTAGTTTCGATGTCGAATAGTCTTCGACGTGATTCCCAAGAAGTCCGTTCATCGTCACTCGTAATCGATAGAGCTATAATAAATACGTCATTGGCTAAGGTTCTTTTTTGGATATTCTCCTTCAACGGGTGTTGTTCAGTCTTTGATGCCTCGTTACTTGTCACGAATAAAATGCGTCAAAGCGTAAACGCTCCGTCATGACGAGCAACGTTTCCCCAACGACGAGCGCTCGTTCGCTGATTTTTCTTTGCATCTCTCTCAGAGAACACGTTACGTTTTCTTTTTGTGCAGCGATTAGTACCATTCTGAGGGTATATTTTGGAAACGAGTTCCTTAGCAATTAATTCTTCGTTACCTGGTGGCTCTAGCGAGCTTTTGCTCTGCATTTTACGATCCTCGATCGTTTTGGCTCTGGTACTCTGTCTCGCGAGGCAACTTCCATCGAACGTTTTATGAAATTAGCTTCGTCGGCGTTGCAGCGTTTCGGAACATTGGACGTTTTGCTGTTTCGTACAAGTGAATGGTGCCGGAACGACTTGGTCAGGCCTCTGTCTCGCCCTTCAGCCTCAGGCGGGCGAAGTCTTCGAAGATTATGTCGTCGTCGCCGTAAGCCTCTCTGTAATTAGACAAAAGTCACGGAAATTTAAACGTAGAAGCCGCTGATAATGGTGCAACATCGAAACTTTAGCTGTGTTTCACGTGGAAGAATGAATTACGTGTACCCAAGCGCAACTGTGAGTCAATTATAACAAGCTGATTACGAGGACAGTTAGCAAACGTCGCGAGAAGAAATAGTTTGAAAGTTGAGTAGAGAACAAGGACATCGGCTCAAAGTAACAAAAATTACCTAACTGACTCGGGATACGAGCATCCTTCGATCAGACCTTGACAAATTCGAGTTCGATTTGTAGAATCTTTATGACGTGGACCTATATTGCAGAGAGAAAGATCAGTCCTCGTGAAAGGAGGATTCGAGGATCGTACTGGGTCAGACATTTCAGGCAAGCTTCTCTCATTATACATCTCACTCTATAAACTTAAATTAAAGTTAACGCTCCTGAGCTGGAGGATGAAATGAACTATGCATGTACCCTTGTACGCTTCTACTACTCTAAATAACAATCCTTGTACTATCAACTTATTCACGGGGCCTCATGCCCCTTAAACCAGGACTGATCTTTCTTTCGTCTAGCAATACAGAGACCTCAAAGCAGTGTGTTAATTGATAATTAACGAAGACTAGGCTACGCGTCTAACACCAGATCACCATCGCCAAAGGATAAGTCATGCTTTCGAGAAAACGTTTCCCAAGCGTTTCCTAATAATATGTATTAGAGCCGCTGAATAAGGGACACATTGTCAGCAATATAGTACGTCAGCGATGAATGATTTCGTAGAAGCGATCGACACGTTCTTGGGCGACGAGAATAGCACGACAGCGGTACTTAAATATTAACCACGTACGTGTCCAATTGGATGAGGTTCGTGTCGAGCGGTATTTCACCGCTGTCTGCTTTTTGCGTCGGGCTCGGACGCGCGGTGGATGGCGTCGGTTCCTCCTCTTCCGGTTTTGGGTGCATCAGGATGAACGGCAGCTCCGCGACTAATTCACTGTAATCAATACGCGAGGCAAACTTTATAACCATCTTCCTGGTTTACATAAAACCTTTGTTTTATTAACACACACAGACTTCTATTTTTAATTACTGTTTCGAGAAAATAAAATTTAACCCTTTGCGCTCGAAAGGTGATACTCGATTACCACTAGGTTCGACGCAGAAAAAATAACAGAAAAAGGTCCTCGAGTGCAAAGGGTTAATATTGCTGCTGAGATAAAGTGATTGCGTACTGTATGTAAAAAAGTATCGAGTGAATTTTTTTTTTTTTTTTTACTTGTTAAAACAAATATTCCTTCGTTTCGACTTACCCTCCAAGCGCTCCAAGGCAGAGTTTCACTTTCACTTTGTACTGGACGATAATCCCGAGGTTCTCACGTTGCGAGGGATCCACCACACTGCGAAACAGTACAATTACCATCGCCGTTCGATTTCCATGTAATTTTCTAATTTCCAAGCTCGGCATGCACTTTTGTTAGCGCTACACAGTAATTCGTTACGATAACATATTTCAACGTCGGCGATGGGCAAAATTTTTCCTCGAATACAAATTTCCGGTGGAAAATTCCGATGAATTTCACGAAACGAAACGGAATTCCACGCCGAACGAACAAAAGCTATTAATAACGCTAACAATCGCGCGAAGGAACGAACGCAAAAATGAAATCCACAAACGGTATTCGAATACGTTGTCCATTGTTCGCGTAAAAAATGTTGCCCATCTGCTCAGCGTATGAGAAGCGCGCGAAAATCATAGGAATAGTAGCCAGAATGCGAAGATGAAAAGATTGAATCGAAAGCTGAGTTTGCAGATAGTAATCGAGGAAAAAGTGTTCGCAGCTTTATCCAGGTTGCAGGGGAAGGCTTCAAAAACGACCATACAAGCGGAATCATGCAGTTCCGAAGCAACAAGTACAAAGCGTCCATTCGAACAAGTATAGAAGCGGAGGGGTAGGATGATATCGATTCGGTCCAAGCTTCCACGCTTTGGAATTCGTACGATTCGATGTTCTCGCAAGTGACCGCTGTAGGCGAAGGAGGGGCGTCGAATAAATAACCAGAAAACAAGATTGAAATTTTCTAAAACGCGAACGCATCTCGAGTCCTTCTTCGACCACATCGTCTTGATGATTTTAGCAAACGCATCTTTCATTATTCAAACATAAATTCTACGACGCTCGATGATGATCAAAAATAACTCGATAAAACCAAAGAACACACACACACACACGTTTTGTTATCGTATTACTTTGCATACCAACCAAAGTAACGGAAAGGAAAATTAAGTTCTCTTATACGTTACAAGCGTTAAGATTGAAATATCGAAGCAGAATTTACAGAAGGAAGATATTGTCTGGGCGTTCGTTTGCAAGTCAAGCTGCGATTATTGACAATCCCCTCCTCCACAGTGGTCGAATGCAACTCGTCCGTTTTCACCATATCTCTCCACGGATCAACAGCGTTTAGGGTTCGTGGTAGGGCTGGGACTATTTCCGTATCTTCATATTGGATTTATCGATGCTAGAACTTTGAACGTTTGTCTGCTCAAACATTACGATTTCACTATTCGAGTACTGTCATATTATTATACGAATAGTACTCGAATAGCCCGGTATTGGAGTAGGATTCGAATAATATTCCAACGAGCAGTCCCAGTCCCAATTCGTAGCAGTGTCGACGAAGCAGAACCGACTCTTCGGCGTAACTCTACCATCAGTAACTCGAAAAGACTCTCGAAATCTAATCTTCGTATTTTCCAACGGCGGGAGACGCATATCCCGGTTCTCGACGCAGTGCAGAAGAAATCGTGTCCAAAAATACGCACTAGTGTTTCTATCAAGCAGCCAACGCGATGCCTAAAGTCTCGCTTTCCCGATGTATCACTAAACGTGCCAGTCCGCTAGACTCGTCAGCCATTTCTCCAAAAGAGTAATCGGAACAAGAATGCCAACAGAGCACGGTGGAACGCGCGCCATTTTTCACGACTCCTCCGGTCTCTTCTGTCACATCGTAGAATTATGGTCGTCGTTATCTCGCGCTGGCCGCGATTACTTGCATAATTGCGGGGTAATTAACGCCGCCAGCTACATCTTCGTTACGATATCGACGCCATCGATTGCTCTTTTTACAGCGGCGATGGGCATCCGTAACTCGAAGCCACGTAAAGTTCAATTTGTTTGCTCGTCGACAGGAAAACAAAGTTCGTAGCGTTGAGGCTGAACAGGGAAAGTGGGTATCTGGCTTCGTTCGCCAATTTTGCGATGTTCTGTTTGTTTGCAACGTGCAAAATTGCTTGAAAAGTTTGGCGTCAGGGGTGTACACCCCCCGAAAACGTGAATATTACATTCGCGACGCGGGGAATGGAAACGAACGGCCCCCTCGACGATCGCGGAAAATTGGAAAAAATTAAATTCGATACCACTTCAGGTGCTACTCTACTTGGTGCAATCTTTTTTTCCTCCGTGAAGTTCCGTAATAAAATTCCCATTTCGTTTACTCCCTGCAGAACGGAAACTGGTTCATTTTGTAGTAATAAAACGCGTGTCGATTTCAGTCGACGAATAAACTCGACGTATCATGTAACATGGAAGGTTGGAGTAATAAATGTTTGCAAGCCACGTTCATTATTCGCCAGATATGTTAGGATCTCATCAACGTCGGTGTCATCTTCCATACTGACGAAGTTAATCCCTGAGACGTTGGTTTATGTTTACGGAGTAATGGACATAGTTTACACGGAGAGCCAGGAAGACATTAACCCGCGAGCGTCAAAGGGAACCCTGATAAAGCGATGGTTGAAACACTCTTTACGTCTCAAGCACCGAAAGGCAAAAGACAAAAGGAATCGCGCGAGCTTTTTTACGATTGTTGTTCAGCGCGGTACAGTTTGAGCAGTTTGAGTAACTGCAGACCACTTTGCAGTGGAAAGGGACGCGGCTACAATGGGGACGAACTACAAAGATTGTCCCTCGACAAGGAAAACACTCGACTTGGTCCCCTCGAATCTTAACATACTTTTTTCAGAGTGCAACGCCGCTTCTCGACTCGATTCTAAAACATTGGTCTGATAACTCGGTAATTCGAACGATGTCAATTATTAAAACGGTTCAAGATTTTGAAGAAACGACCTGGAGTTTCCAGATCGCTGTAAATTCGTACTTCAGTCGTTATACCTTGTAATAATAATTTTCTGAGTTCTCAGATCCATGAACGTTTAGTATCGGCGATTTCGATATGTTGAAATAAACGACTCGAGCAGCGTTGAATATTTGGCAACAAGCTGGCATCAAAAAGCAGTCTGGCGTTCGACAGGCGGGTCGATAACGTCGAACTCAGCCAGAGCCACAGGTTCCTTTAGCGCACGTGACCGAAATTTCGGGCACACGCAGCTTCGCGAACAGAGAAATCGTGATTGCACGCGTGATCAACCGTGCTCGTATAAATAGCGAAAGAGAGAAGGAGAAGAGAGTGAGAAACAGAGGCACGTACACACAGTACCGATCGAAAGTTTGGGTACAACGTCTGCATAAACAATTTTGGTTATCATTAACGGGATCTTCGGAAGATAAATTAAACAGAGACGTCGCGGAGACGTTATCCGAATCGTAATAACATTTATCGAAGTTATTTCGGAGTGAACGGATTAAATCAGCGACGTTGCGCGCGCACAGTGTCCCTATGTATTATTTCAGTAAACAAAAACATTGATTTAAAAGGAGAGCTGAATTTAAATCAGGAGCAAAATAGTCGTTGGCGGCAGGTGTGGTTAGAATCCTTGTCTGGATGTGATCATTTTTACTGGGTACTGGTTGAAGGAATTATTAAGATTTTAATTAGATTTTATGTTGAAGAAAGGTGCAGTGTTTATTCGTTAAGAACTCGTTCCATCTCTTCGCCTCCAGGAAAAAACAACCCCATAATGAGTAAACATTCTATTTCGAAGTATAACTTGTACTTTCAAGTTTCTAAGTTCATCCACAAAAAAAAAAGTGAACAAAATTGCCCAGAGAGTTCTGCCCTATAAAGGCAGAATTTTTAAGAACCTTCGTCCCAAAAAACAGGTAAGTACCAGGAAGATATGCTAACAATCACATTTTCTATAGAGGTAGGTTCGATGGAGTTGTTGGTCGCGAGCACACGTGTACCCAAACTTTCGTTGCGGCGGGGTGTAAATATATCCAGGCGTGATTGTTGACTTCCATCGACAAGCAGCGGTTTTCCTTACAGGGTGCTGGACGCCAGATTGGTGTCCTCGTGTTTGAGCTGGCCGTCGAGGGCAAGCCCCCATTTATTTTTGTTGTTGGCGAGAAGCGGTGTCAGAGAGAACACTTTGCTCAGCGTGAAACCTTGCCCCACCGGGCACCCCTCCCTGGCAAACATGTAGCACAAGGGTGAAGGTAAACGTGCCACGGGCCTAATATCCGGATCTCGGAACTCCGGTTCATCCGGCTCATCCGATCACCGGGTCTAGGTACACATTGAAATTGGTTTCTGCGTCTTTCTCGTGGAAACCCTGACGTACGTATACTTTCATCGAAACGTCTGCGTTCAGAGGGGGTGACTTCATTGAAAGCGGACTGTACACTTTATTGACTTTACCTTCGAGATTCTCGATAATTCGCGATGGTTGGTAATCTCGAACGTTGCTTACCACCTCTGACATCATCGACGATGCGAACAAGAGGATACACCGATAGGTTTGACATCGTCGATAACGTCAGGTCAGTTGGGAAACGCGAACGCAGCTAGGAAATGTACAATATGATCGCACGAAGGGTAATTGACGTGAATGGAACGCGAGTTGCGACGCAAAACAAACTACAGGTAGACGATTAGTCAATAGGACATAAAGTAGTGGAAGGGTCTTCGATGACCTTCGTAGGATTTGGCTGCTAGATACCACGCAGTTATTTCTGATAGTTCGGTCGATTTAAGTACGCGTAAATAAATCTTTTGTTCAGGATTGTGGAATTATTCACTCGCTGTGTACACCGCTGGAGTCGTCAGGATCCTTTCGTATAGCGGAACGATTGAGGAAAATGTCTAATGAGCCTTTAATGAGCCGTGATTATTAAATGACGTAACGAATAAATTGACTAAAGAAGATTAACGTCAGTTGAAGCGATAATTGCCGTATTGGTCCGCATCGATCGAGCCGTTAGTGCACTGCAATTTTTCAAGGCCACCGTTTTCTCCGCGCGATCACGATGCGCAATAATTGCATTTGAAATTTAAATTCGGCCACGTTCGCCAGCCATACGAGCAAGCTGCCAACGTAAACTCTCCTAACGTTTTAGGCTGCGGACGCTGTCAAATTAAACCTCGGCAAATAACTCCTCAGTCGCGAATGTGTAATTTAAAAACAGCTATTACTTGTTTTATGTTTCCAATATTTGTTTTAAGATCGTCTCCGAGTTCTACGAATATTATATTTGAATTTATTATACTTGGAAATGTAGACATTGAGTTTACTTCGTATAGAAATATCTTCGTTCGGATATGAGTCTAAAAGAAAGAGTTGAAACGTAAAGTAAATAATAGCTTCTTTGCCTAAAGGCAATAAGTGTCCAATTGAAAGTTATCGATGGTTTAATTTGAAATCAATGTGGAGAACAGAGACTTGGGGGTAACTCGGTTCTTCGAACCCTCTCTACCTTAACATTCTCAGAAATTAAAACCTCAATATGAAAAACAATCTATTTAAATAAAAATAGTATTTCCTCTCTTATAGATCCGTCAATGAATTTCCCAAATCTTCCCCAGCAAACGTTATCCTTCAAATAATCCCTTGATGTTAATATGAATAATATTGATCCATCAACAATGTAACTCTAATGTTTGTCTTCGAAAGCGCAACAAATACTACTCCCCTCGAAAGGTGTCTGACAGAAAATTAAATTTGATTCAGCGCACAACGTGGTCGTAACCATAGAACCACCCCCAAATCTCCACGAATCTCATTCGAGATCTCCAGAATCTTGGCGACCAGAGATTCGAAGACTCGATTCGAATCTCGACGCAGAGACAGAGCGATGATTAAGCTACGTGACACGGACTGTGGCGATCGTAAATACACACCCACGCGCGTTTAATGCGTGTAATACACGGAACTTCAGCTTGTGCGTCACACTGCGTTACAGGCTACGGAATATACAGGTTCCAAGGGGCTATGGGCGAAGGATCAGGAGTGAAAGTAACAGGGATGTACCGAGAGCAGTTTTCGGCGATCAGCATATCAATCGTGGAAAGACACAGACGTGGAGATAATAGAAAAATAAAGTGAACAGGGTTGGTGGTGGATGGGGCGAGGGTCAGAAAGAGGGAACGTGACCTTTGTACAGGAAATAAAAAAGGTAGACCACCACCGATGGAGTTCCATATCCACGAAAGTCCCCAACAAAAAAACCATCAAGAAAAATACTGGCATTCCACGTTGGAACGGCGTTCCCATACAATATCGTACTTCGTTTCAGCGATGGTCGTTCGCGAAGACTGCAATCGGGCTTCCACGTGTCGCTAACCCCCCCGCTGTAAAGCGTAATTGAATCCTTTCTCCCGCACAAAACGGATCCATAAAGCGATACTGTTGTCCCCGTTGTTCCACGACGGACAAATAGCGAAATGCAACGATCCGACGATGGGTGTATTGTCTCGTTCGAATAGGCGATTACATGTCGCGCAAATATTGGCGCAGGTGTCGTTCGCTTTGTTTCGAGGTATCTAGGATGGAAGGTTAAGGAGTGGCAGAGCTTTAGAATTTCTAAAATCTTTATCGATTAACGGAAATCATCTTTGGAAGTTACACTGTAATGGAACTTTGCAACCAAACATTCAAATAAAATCGAGAAAGGAAGGAATGATGAATGTGAAAACCCATGAATACCAATACACCCCTCTTTGGACCAATGGCTATTCAAGGAACCATTCGTGTTCGAAACCACGTCGTTCTCCGATCTTTTAAAAACGAATCCTGGGGGAACCGCGATCATCCCCAGGATCGTTTGGCCCGTTTCCAGTCTTCGGTCTCCGAAACGTTTTGGCAAAGGATATATATATATATATAAAAGAAGACAAGAAGTACGTCGGTCAATGTTTGAGCACTCACATTGTGCTAGATGCGAGATTGGTGTCCTCGTGCTTAAGCTGACCATCTAGAGCAAGACCTCGCTTGTCTTTGTTGTCGGCAAGCGTCGGCCTTAGAGAAAAGACCTTGCTCAGGGTGAATCCTGGCGCTACCCCTATACTGCCAGTGCAATCATCTTATTTTCCGTTTCGTCATGTCACAATATCCTTTTCGGCATTTATCGCGCTCTATCATCGTACACCTAGGCGTTAATGCTCGATCGGGACAGTCTCGTGTACTGCGCCCCCCTTCGTTCGTTGAATTTTACACGCACTAGTCTACGATCGTGTTCGAAAACTCTGGCGAGTGTTCTACGAAACTACTCGAAATCATCCAACAAATTGAATATTCTCCATTACGAAGAACTTTGGAAAAATCAGGATTCGACTACAGCTGTACCCATAGAATATTTTTACAGAAGTTGGAGGGGTGAGTCTAGAGTCCAGAGGTTCAATTTCATTTCAGTAGGCACTTTCTAAGTATAAACAATTAATATACAATTCGTATTCGTATCCTCCATGTCTATTCAAGAAATTTGTCTAAATTAAATGACAGGTGTGATGCTTCCATATATACGATCCATTATAAATGTGTACATAAATAGAACTTACACATGTATACATCGATAGTAAGAAATTTATTTGGAAACATAAAAGCTATCAATTAATTTAGACAAATGTCTTCAATAGACATAAAAGGTGCGAATACTTATGGGATTGACTGTATGTTCTTACTCGTCCAACACGCTTCCTCGATATAAACTTAAATTTAACTCTATACTCTGGAATCTTAATAGCTTCTGAAAAGAATCCTTATTGCATCGAGATTGTAGGTTTACTCCCTCAAGGATCGCTAAAACCTCCTGGTGGGTCAGCTGCGTCATCTGGAAGATGGATGGCATCCAGCCTCGAACACTCGCCGAATTTTCATCGCCGTGGTTGTGTTTCGAAGCGCAGAAACCAGTACAAGGCGATCGTCGATACAAACTACTCGGTACAATGCAGATTTTCCCGTTGCTGGAGTGAAATTTATTACAGGACTTCGCGATTTACGTCTTTCCGCGCCAGGGCCGATAGATCTCGAGCGTCCGATGCCTGGTCACGGCGGTGAATCTATTACTCGTAAATTACTCCGCAACCCTTGCTTCCAGGGTGCATAAAACACCGGTTCGAGAACCAGTGGAGAGTCGAGCAACGCGACAGACAGAAAGTCTCTCGAATTTTGCAATTTAGAGAACAATCCGTCTTCCTATCGACGACGTCGCCAAAGTGGTCCTGGTTCTTTTTTCAAACGCAACACGATTTTCCTTCGAAATGGGTTACCCATGACCAGGCACGCGACCTCTTGGCTCCTCTAACGCGAAAACGGGGGCTTGACTGGCGTGACCGCGTCGATGGGCGGGGAACTGGATGTCGTCGCGACGCCCGAATGTTTTCAACTCGAGGAACTAGGTCGCGCAAACGATTGGCAGCAAATGGATTCGCTAGGAACGAGTTGTCGATGATTTCCATCCCAGGGAAGCTCCAGAGCTCCATGATTTACATGTCTGCGATCGTTGGAGGTTACGGAACCTGCCATGCTGATTGGAATTAAATAGAAATTGCTATTCTCGGCGAATACGCGAACAATTGTATCGATTAACTATAAGTTCACAGTCTGAATGACTTGGGTGGGTGTGAATTGTGTCACAACGATGGTGTGGTGCTTGATAATTCAAAAATTATTAATTAAAACATTCTTTATGGATTTCAAGAATCGAAAACGGTAATCTTGAGCTTGATCTCCCAACAAACAGACAAATCTTTGATGAATCACGCTGGTTGCCTAAGATAAGCTCAGCCCTGTTCATCGATAGCTGTGGATCCATTTGCTGCGAATCATTAGCAGTGACCACGTGACACGTACTCTATGCGCGGTTCTGAGTGATCAGAATGATGAATCGAATGATACTCACTCGCTCTCCGCCTCGGCGACCGTGCACTTGTACTGTGCCGTGGAGAACAGACAGATGTCCGCGAACTGCCTCACGGTCACTTTGATCTTTTTAACAGTCCTGTTGCTATTGTTCGCTATGTGCACGTTCACGGCGATGTTCTCGCCGTGATGGTACAGCTCCTTGTCCAGCGACGCCTCTAAATAGAGTTTGTTGGGGGACATCACGAACTCCTTACTGACCTCTACCGATGGCTGCTCGCCCTGTTTCGAGGGCGCGTACATGATCTTTCGTATCGCCAGCCTCACCAGGTCTCTGTAACGTAGGATTGGTAACAGTCAGTGTTGATAATAAATTGACGAGGATCATCAGGAAATTCTGTGACAGAATGGACCACCTGGGTCGCCCAGATTATACTGCTCACTTGGCAGACCTGCTTTAGACGTGACGCGATTAATCCTTTACTCGATTCAAACAATTTGGGCACTAACAAACTATCGACTAAGTGAAGTTTCCCGAAAGGATTAACCCTTTGTACTCAAGGTTTTTCATTCTGGTATCTACCTGGGCGACAATCATTTTATCGACACTTCGAGTTCCAAAGAAATTAAACCTAAACAAACATCGTTGGTCGATTCACTGTGTCACAAACCTAGTGGTGACCGAAAATCTCCTCTCGAGTGCAAAGAGTTAATAGGATCCCGTCTAAGCCAGGATCTGACAGATAAGCCACGAGTTCACCTCAAAGTACAGTAATACAGTTCTCAGTCTGAAGGTATAATACAAAAGAGTTTTCTATTACTATACTAGAGGCCTCTCAAACAGTGAGATTTCATCCACCACCTGAGAAATGAGTCTGAGGACTAAAGAATTGAAATTAACAGGTCACAGGCGTTACCCGGTAGCAGTGATAGAGGCTTCGTACCGTTTGTGCGGTTTCTCGTCCTGCGTCTCACCTACGAACGCTTTAAATTCGTAGTCAACGCCACAGGGTTTCCCAGTGTCCCCTGGCGCAGGTTGCAGCGTCACTGACGCTGGACAGTGTGGTGGCAGCTCGAAGTAGAACGGATAGGCATTGCTGCCCAGCTTCCTGATCAGCCTCTCCTGCAATCGTGTCAGCTCCCTTTGCTGGGTACCAGGCACCTCTGGGTAAATCTGGTCGGCCGCCAGGTAGAGGTCCTTGCGGAACGACAGCCCCAGAACGTCCAGGTCCTCTCTGCCATACTTGAACACGGCCAGAACGTGGCCGAAGACCTTGCGATCCTTCACGTAGTCCGGGTCAATCAGTACGACCCCGTCTGTAACGATCAGCGCTCGATGAAGGAGGCTTCAAGTGGCCTTCACGCCGCGGGATTAACTGGCAAATCGAATTTACCAATTCTCCTGGGACGTTCGGAACGTCGTTGATGCTTTGGGGCGTCGAGTTAGTAGATTTAAATGGATTAGTGGGCGACACGTGAGAAACTTTGGCTTTGGTTGATTTTAGAATTAAATGCAAAACAACGCATAGTGTACAACTTGTGCTTCGTTCTTTTGGTGCGAAATATATTTTACAGAATTAAATTTGTCATCAAATATATGTTTTCAGCGAATTAAATAAATATGTCTGCGTGTACCATCGGTGGTATACGTGGCACGGAACGTGTGGATAGTACTCTGTGAATGGATGCGAAAAATGTAAAAAACAGCGAGGTCTTACCAATAGGATCGACGTGGGTTATGTGATCAACGAAGTCTCTTTTCCCAAGGTACACGGTGATCTTTCCATTTAGGCTGGACTTCTTGAAGACACGAGTAGCTTGCCGCTTGCTGGCACTGTCCACAGTGTCCATCGCACAGATCTCGGGGCTGATGAAGGCCCCTAAGTCATTTGAGTCCTCAGCCTCCGAACACTCCGATTCCGAACTGTCTCTCTACACAGAACAATCGTCGCACTTATGAAAGACATGCACTTGGTAAGATTGCTACAAAAAGCGGACATCCCTCCCTTATTTTACAGAGCAGAATCTCTGTTTCGGTCAATTCTCTTGATACCAAATAAAAACGACGGGTCCAAGCGATAAAAACTTGTGTTAGAGAGTGGAAGTTTGAAAGATATCATTGAAACTGGGGAAACAATGTTTCCCTCTTCACTGCAGTTTCGTAACATCATTCTAAAACACACTGGTCTAAGGAAAGCAGCACGAGCGGGCGACGCTAGAGCGAAGACGTAAATTCGAAGTTTCGCCGACTCGCGGGCGAGTTTGAAGTTCCTTTGAATTTTTCAGGGGCCACGCCCGGCAGTTGAAATTAAACTTTCCTGCGTTTTCTTAACTCCCGCGACTCAATATTTTCCTTCCATTTCCAGGGCCTGCTCGTCCTAGCTCTTTTCCTTTCTCCTGGCCACGTTTTTCAGTTTGCTTTAATATTTCAAGAGTCACGCGGTAGTCTGGTCCCTTCCAAGTGGGTTGATTATTTTTTAACGAATCGCAAGCCTAACTTTGAACTCCTGACAATTGTGAAAGCAACCATCTGCACGAATTCATTGGGGTTGCGAAATAGAACTGCCACTACATAAAACATTCCTGTTATCTATACAGGTGGCTTCCTTATTGATCTATCGGGGCAGAAATAATATGTTCGCGCTGAAGACTGTGTCAATATTTAATAAAAAAAAAAACCACAGAAATATTATAGCGACGGTATAATGAGGGTTGATTTGAGTAGCAGAAGTATAAGTGGCATGAACTTTTAGGACGATCTAATTTTGCAATAATAAAATGCCTTAACACCTTGCTCGAAGATATCACAGAGAAAGAATATCTTTCCTAGTCTATCACATGAAAGTTTCTTGGAAGAGGCACTCTGCTCGAGGGAGATCCTCGTTTGCCAAGCAGATTTCTTGCAAAGTCGTCGGTTTTTCGACGTTTACATTCCCACTGAGCTTCCGTGTGACACTGGCATTCCTTTCTGACCAGGCACGCAGCTCGCACGCATTGTGAATCGAGATCCATCGCACGTAATGCACGCCAAAAGTGACGTTCGTCTGCTCTTTAAAAGCGTGGCGTAGCTGTAAAGCGGCTCTTTGATCGCCGTCCAGTCAAAGAACGGGGCAAAGTGAGAGGCAGAAACGGTATCAGAAATGGGATGCCCGCGATACCTTCGTTTCCCCACCTTTTGGGGGGCAGTACCTAGTCAAAGCTGCGCGGGAGTACACTCTATTTCGACGAGGGGCTCTTTTAGCGTTTGTTTTCAAGAACTCGACGACTTTCACGCCGTCGTTTGTTGTGTCAGACATTGTAAGAGAAAGGAGAGGAGGTCTTGGGTTAACCCCATCAGGACACAACAATTGTGGTCTGCGTGAACTCGAAGACGTAACTAAGCAAGGAATCATTGTTCTCCTCTTGTAAAATTGATGAATAATTTTTCTTTTGTTTTCCTTTGTTCTTTTTACATGTTGTTGACAATATATATATATATATGTAGAACTAAGTTTCTTAACGTTTGGCTTGGAAATCAAAACAGACATATTGATGGGTAAATATAATTTAAGTCAAACAATGTTATCAATATTCCGATGACTATAATCACACCAACGGACGAATGAATTTATCATAGATTTTAGGAAAAATAGAAAAATATAGCGAATGCTGCATGTTCACCTTTGCCATGCTCGACTCTCGACGCTTCTTCGTCCAGGTATTTCTTTATTTTCTCCTTATCACTTATAAGTTGCCACATTGACGCGATAAATAATTGAATCGCAAGGGCACGGTCGAGTAATCGTGTTTCGAAGTGTGCTTCCCGTCGAAATGGTCGAATAATACGATTATCAGAACTCCTCTTTCGCGAAACGTGAAATCAGCGTTTCGCGAACATCATCTAGTCGCGTCAGCGCGGACATTTTTTCGTACGTTGAACCGAGATGCAACTTGTTCACCTTGCGTTACGACATGGTCGGCTTTTCGAGAATCTCGCGGACACCCAGTACACGATAAGATAAGAGCATTGACGTTTCTTGAATGATAAAGATCCTCTACGCTAGACTGCAATGCGCACGATTCGTGAAACTCGTACTGCTGCAAATATTTTTCTTCGTTAAGAATTTCTAACTTACAGCACAATTATTCTAAATACGTCACGAACACCATAAGAATTCGGTTCTATATTATTGAAATAGAACGTTGCCCATCTCTGCGACAGAATCGACGGGGATGAAACCGTCGAAGCAAGAAACCGGTCGCGTGCACGATCGCGAGAACACTGGCAGAGCTTTCCAGCAACAAAGCGCAACCCTCGCGAGTGTCGAGTGCAGACTAAACAGGCCTTGACAAATGGATGTCAATTTCAATCGACGCTCGTGTAATTCTTAATGCGATCTATGGAATGAATTGTGCTCGCCAGAGCGTGCAAGTACTCAGGACTGGTTCCGTATCGGTTGCGGATATCGCGATCGCGACGGGATACCGTCGGGTCATTCGGTGTCGAATTGAACGTTTTTTCAAGCAATCGATCAGTTTTCGCGTGAAATTTCGATACATCGTCGCTCTTCAGCTGCCAAACAAGTCGTGAATTTATGAAGAATTATTTGGAAGCTGCACTTTTAGAGGAAGAAATCAAATTCCATTTCTCTTATCGAAAAATAGAAGCACAATGTATCTGCCAAAGGAAATTAGTCTTGGATGATACTTCGCCTCGTCTTGTGAAGCTGGATGGTGGATCGATCGCGAAACGCATCCACGCACGTTTGCAGCGAGTGCGTTCGATAGAACACGCATTCTGGAACACGCGAATAACGCAAGCTACATCACAAGGGGCGCCTATCGAGTGCCACCTGTTCAGCTGCGGTAATAGGTCAACGAATAGCGGGGAGAATACCTCGGAATCAAAGATGCACGCGTCCGACATTCTCTCTCGGCATCGTCGTACCATAGCGAGGCCACAGCGAAGCGTTCAAGACGTGCCACCTGATCAATTTACTTTTAGCGACAGCTAAAACAGTCTCTCGACCGCGAAACGGTCAAATTTCCAGCGAAATAATTTCCGTTTTGCGCTATTTGCATTCACAATCCGTGTGTTTGTGATTCTAGTCAACTGTAACTATTATTATTGGCCAATCCAAATGTAATTTTTTTTTAAGCGCTCTTCATGTTTCGTCGCAAAGTATAGTCAAAGCATAAATAATATTAAGATCTCTGTTACAGTCTACTGTTTGAAGGTTTAAACAAAATTCTACGAATAAAGATTGTTTTCTCGCGATCAATGTTAGCGACACTTAGCGGAGGCTCGTCGGCGGATTATTGCGGCACAATGGCGCGACAGATTTAATGGTTGGGATTAAACGGGTGTTGGTTTGAACACATTCTGCGGCACGTGAGCGACGCTAAGACCCGCTGCGAGACCTAGCACGCGTTACGTGTTCCGGACACAACGGGTCAGAAAATGGAGCGGTGTCCCAGCATCGACAGTCGACGCAGGAGAAGCCAAACGTACGTGCGATCGTGCTCTGCGTGGTGATATTTCCGTGGAGAACGTCGAATCGATGGAATCTTGGCAGATTTCATTCGCATGAACCACTTTCTGAGGTATTTCAACCCTTTAAGGGAGTAGATGCTCCGAAATCAAAATTCCTTTTAGAATTCATTCCAAACAATGTATGTGTCTTGAAGATCAAGGAAAAATTTGTTTATTAACAAATACATGGATGTTCAAAATTCCACTGCACGAGGTTTGTTAAAGAACTATTTCTAGGAAGTCTCATTGGTCTTGCAGACAAATTTTTTGGAAGCTGTACTTTTCAAGAAAAAAAAAAGAGGAAAATATCGTTTCCTGTCTCTGACGCTTCAGCAACGTTGCTTCGAAGATCGATCTCGGCGACTGGTAAATTATTGCGCAAGTCGCTGTAGCGAAACGTCGTTTCGGAGAATTCGAGCGAAAAAGGGTAGAGATGGAAAGTCGCTTCTCGTTCGACTTCGTCGCATAATTCAATAGCCCAGGACTCGCAGGTTAAAATTAAATCGGCACTGGAGCGAGGAAGCGACGAGACGGAAAAATCGGTAAAATTGATAAGCCACCGATTTGACTCGATTACCGTTACGAGAAGAAATCGATTTTCCTCGACGTCGTCCTCTTCTTCTTCTTTCTTCTCTTTGGAAAAATAATACGGGATTTTACAATTTCTCGTAGAACGAAACGATCGCGATTTTCGATAAATAAACCTCGAGACGTGCCTTCCACGAGAAGTTTTCGAAGACAGAATCGAAAAACTTCACGAGCGGGACGATAAATTTGGTTATTTTTGGCCGCCATTTCCGAGCAAAATGCACTTCGACGTCGGTTCAGAAATAGCCTTCGACGGAGGATTGATGGAAGATAAATCTGTGGAACTGTTTCGAGGAGTGCTGGCACTCCAGTTTGCCTGTTTTTGAAAAATATTGAAGAAAGCGATGATCCATGTCCTTTGGTAAATATTAGTGTCATTAGTCCCTCGTTTTCTCTATATTTGAATTATTTACACGCGGCACACGATCTCGCAACGAAACCGGAGCGGGCACGGCAAACCGTGACTAATTACGCCCGATGCAATCGCGTCAGGCTCGATTCGCATAAATCATGGGAATCCAACTTGCTTGGGCGTCATTTTCGCGGGACACGGTCGTACGAGTTCGCACTAATTACGTCACGACTATAATTTCGTACCTGAAGTGAACTCGTAAACGCGACCAAGCGTCGCTCAAGCAATCGACATTGGCTTGATTCACGTGGGAAAACCGCGACAAACCGAACCCGCAAGGGAAATTAGGTAAATAGAAAACCGAGACGAAATTTGATACTTCGCGGAAATGTAACGCGACGCTAATAATGCGTGCGTATTTTATTTCTAGCGTGACCTTCCATTAATTCAACATTTTATGTTTTTTGATGTTCCACGACATGGTGAAGCTCAAACGAAAACATTCATAAATTGTCAACAATTGTATAATCTTCTTTTTCCAAAAGCATCCTGTATCCATCTTCAATTCTTTGTAGTATTAAGCTGTTTTTGAAACGTTAGAAACAGAGTTTTTTTGTTACACCCACGCTTTAGTTTATCCAGGAAGGAAGCGTTGGCCGTTTCTGGAACGAAGCCATCGAATTGCGTTTCAAGGGGCCAGCAAATTGCAGAACGTTAGCGTTGCAATTTTCCTGCGAAAGTGACGCGCTTTCCACTGCTTTTGAGGCGACGGAGTTCATGGCGACGAGTTACGTCGACGCTTTGTACACGTGCACAGAACGAGGGTGCAGAAGGTAATAGACGTCCCACTGCACTAAATTGCAGAATTTATTAGTTATTATCAGGAACATGCGCGCGGTTGCGTGTGTTGTCGGTGCTGTGCACGATGCAACCGAGCGTAAAACGTCGACGAGATCGTTTAAATTGCTCGGTAAACGACGATTCTTCCAGGCGTCACGCCAGAACATCCGTTTCAGATTGAATGAAAAGCTTTTCACAATGAATACGATGAATTAGAAAATGGTGGAATTACGGGGCCTCTGTTTTATTAAGGATTCCGATAGCCCCCATCAAATAACAGACAATTCTTTTTATTTACTTCCAATTTATTTTGTGACTATGTTATCAACAAGTGCTTCGAGTTGAATATTTATTAGAAGGTGTTTAAATAAATTGATTTCCCTTCTGCTGCCTTTAATTAAAGTTTCGAGTCTCAATTTCCACAAATAACATCCAGAAATAAATTCTCAAACCATATTCCCCTTTAAAATAATTTCTGCGAAACGAAATCCATTAAATACTCATCAGGATCGCACGCAATTAATAAAATAAATTGTTTACTTCTAATTACCACACTCATCGATCGATTTTTACCGCCGTCAACCGGCTTATGAATACAAATTCGAATTTCACTCGTTAATTTCGAATCCCCGCCAATGATAATATTAAAATTCATTCCTAGCGGATATCAGCGAATGGAATATTCATACGAAAACTATACCGAGACCAGATTTTCATTGAAAAAGGTTGAACGGAATTGGCGCGGAAAGAAATTTTCACTGACGCGCGTAAAGAGCATAAATTTGCTTGCGAAATTCTCGAAACACGTTTCGCAACGGGCGAATTTTAATCCTGGAGATTAAATCGACGGGCGTTGTATTTGTTATTCCCTTCGTTGCATTCGTTTAATCTGCGAAAACTCGCGGAATCTCGGTATCGATAGCTCATCGATCGATCGCCGATAAATAAAAATCCGAAGCCCGCGTTGTAAACATATCTATATATTCACGAGACGCGTCATCCAACGGTAACGCTCCGATTTTTATGATATTTTTCATGCAGGACCATCGACAAATATTGTGCACTTTTTTTTTTATCGACGGCTATTCGTGTTCAAAAAATAAAAGTCCTTAAAGTCGAAGATGAGATATAGCTGTGCCTTTTTACGCGTAGCTATATTCTCGATGCAATGCTTCTGTTATTATTTATTTTATTTTTATAACGAAAGAATCTTTCTGCGCCCATTTTAACCGTGTTTAATTTACATACATTATTTTCTGACCAGTGCGTGATCGTTTAACCTGTTACGATTTTCAGTGAGGGCGACTGTACGCATTTCTGACGATCCTCATTATTCTCGCTGAACTTTGGCCGAGTTTCGCGTCCGTCGATATTTAGGTGCAGAATTTCCCAAGCCGCGTAATGCAATTGTTTGCCGCTGTCGTTGGACAACAATTGCGAAAAACCATCTCGTTTCGCGAGATCTGGTTATATCCTCGAGCAAACAGAATTTAATTGGAGCTGCGCTGAGATAATGTTCTGAGGCAAATGGTTGAATCTGCAATCGAATGCTACTCGTGGAACGAAACAATTTATTCACACATCCACTCATCGATCACCTTGTTTGTATTTTTTCTTTTTTTTTTTTTTGGCTCGCGCAATCAAAGTTCAGTTTCAATATTTGTTTTTTATATTTACTGCTGGTATGCGCTCAAAGTCGAGCATACGCAATTAAACGCGACGATGTATAGTTTACGTTCGCCAGTTATGAAATCGAATAACAAGAAAGTACCCCCGCGACAAACGAATCAGTCGAGTTGTAGAATGAATTAAGCATTTCGGGCGTATTGGAATATTAATCTTCTAAAGGGGCGAGTTTTATTATACAGAAACGTTATTTTCTTGGGACTATGACGTTCGCTCGAGAGGTTTTACGAGCTGGGTAATTTGGAAAACAATTAACGACTCATAAACGCATTCGTTGCCCGATACATTCCGTTTCCATTCGAGATAAATCAAATTTCAATGGGGTAGTTAATGGATCGACCAAACATTCGAATAACGTTTGTATTTCAGCTCCATTAAAATTCTTTAAGTTAAGTGAAATAATTACGTTACGGTATCACGATTGTCAAATAAGAATTAAAGTGTGCAAATGACGCCTAATTTTCGCTTTCCTTCCTTAACAAACGCGCGGGTGAATTATTTAAACGCGACAACCGCAAAAAGGAAACGCCGTGATTTAATCGCGGCACGGTTTGCGTACGACTGAATTATTAATTCTGTTAATTGCACCTACCTATGTGGTAATTTCGATTCCGCCGATAAAGCGTTTCCGATTCCACGCGAGAAAAACGCGCAGCGTTTATCGTCCAAAACGCAGTTAAAATTTCCTTCTTCCGCTGCAGAGGAAATTGGTTGCATTATTAATGCTCAGGAAACTCCCTTAAAAACGGATTTCCGTGGTACTTTCAATTTAAAATTGCAAATCAAAGACGGGGGAAAGAGCGTCCCGCCTTTCCCTTTTATTTTCACTCCTGGCGTTTCTTGATCCGTATTCCACCAATCCGATTACGGCCAACTTGTAAATTGAACTTCTACAAACTCAGTTAAGCGTTCGACAAAATTTCAACGTTCCATTATTCACCGCCACAAGGCATCAATTATACTTACAGTTCCATTAATGAGGTAAGTGCATCTAATTTCGTAGCTAATGGACAGCTTCAGTTTACTTCATTAATATGATAGCTACCATTCTGCTGAAAGCACTATGGCTTTTGTTGTTAGTAAACTATACACTTTGAATTTTAGTGACTCATTACTTTAGACATGCTTCTATTCAAACAATGCCAAAACCGAAGGAATTTTGTTGTGCTTAAAACGACGAATGATAATTTCTCTGCGTAACTTCTTCTAGTCGTTAATTAATCCGATCTGTTATCCTTCATACTGTTTCCATAGCTACCTGCCACTAATTGCAACGAAAACCATTCTCAGAGGCGCGTTCATCGAAAACCTATTAACGATCTGCCAATCGCGTCACGCGCCAAAATGGGTCATTGTACGATCACCCTTTTAATCTTCAACGACACATTGGCAGCCATAACGAATTCCAAAGAGAACTTTTCCTCGCTTTAAAGGTTACCATCGCTGGTACTCGCATGAAAAGACGAGCACGTGGCGCAGCGTTCAAACTTCCATGCAGTCCAATCGCTTTAAATACGGTCATCGGTCATCAATTTCTTGATGTATAAGACTTTGAAAATTTTAAACATACCAATCTTCTGTACTCAATTATTCGACTCACATCGGCTACAATTTTATTTTCTAGCAATCGAGTGTTTCACAGAATTTTCGAAGATGGGTAGACACGTTCTGTATTGCAAAGCTTGCGATAAATACTGGAAATTTATGTCTCCATTTATCCTTAACAAGGTCCCCTGATGGAGCGGAATTTTCTTTCCATAACGTCCTGTGTATTTTATCCTGGAGTGACCGAGACTAATGGTTCGTAGCGAGTTTCGTTTAAAAACTTTCATAGTTAGTCGCTAATCAGCCTTTTCCCGCGGCTGTCCCTACGCACGCGGCCCCCCGGGTGCGAATTTCTAACTTTTCTCGTTAGAAATTCGTTTGCAGGCCCCTGATAACCCAGAAACAGTTACCGAGTTGCACTGCCTTGGCTGTACGCAAGGTTGCACGCTATCGTTGGATCGATCGCAGAGGCAAACGCTGAAAGTGCCCCGGATGTATAGCGTTGGACTGTTGCGGTTATTCTTGTGGGTTTCGCCATTAGCCTCTACACACTTTCGATAAAGGCCAGCCTGTTTTTGGATTCGATAAACTCTCCAAACATCGAAACACAGCGTGGCCCGATAAACACCGTCTATGTTTTTGAATAGCAGCAATGAATAGTAAAATTGGGTCATAAATATTCAGCGACTAAAATAATTATGACGTACGGTGCATCGTATTTCTGGCACGTAAATCAAATACATACAACGATCTGCATACATTATTTCTTTAAAAAAATACTTGCTGTGCCACGCATGCACCAAAGTAAACTTTTTGCTGGTTCAAGTAAATATGATTCCTATAAAAAGGAATCGATAGCGTGGACTTGGACGTGTGTTCTTAACGACACTGTATATCTATTTAAATTATTTATGTATGGCCATAAAACATGTGGTACTTCATATTCACTTGCACTTGTCGTTCAAAGAAAACTACGCACGTTTTTTTGCATAAATCGATCTTCTTGTCTTACCGTGTATAAGGATATCAAGGACCATTGAAAACGTAATCCATACTTGACGACATATTTCTTGTGCATTTGATTGCCGTTTAAACGGAACTGTTCATTATTTTAACATAAATCGATTCTCCTTGTCATTTTGCATATAAAAGTATTAAGGTAGGCCACTGAAACGTCACGCATACTTAGATAATTCATACTTTACGTTAGGAAATTACTTCTGAAAGAGCTGAATCGGTATAACTTTTGTACATTATGGTAGACGAAGAACTTCGTAACCTCATTACTGCAGTTTCTCACAATTCTGACAAGGGCTCACCGATTTCCATTTACGCAGACACTTGGTGATGTGTTAGTAGGAAAAGGAAGGTTTCCAACTTCTCCTTGCGTTATCCAGCGATTCATCGAAGTGACCTCAAAATTTTATTCGAATAATAAATTATACGTCTTTACATTACGTTTCCATTGGCAACACCTTCATACTTTTACTTCCAACAGACTCGATGCGTAATTTCATTTAAATAAAAAACCAACCAGCAAATAATCACAATAATTTTGTTTAATCAATTTTTTATATAAACATATCAATTTCTCAAGTCAAAACAAACACGCTACCGAGCAACGTTGACGATCAGAACGATTCACGTACAGAGAATAAATTCGTGGCTCCTCTCTTCGAGGCGCGGGAACGCTAAACGAGTTCGCGGGTGAAAATTTTAATAGACGACCGAAAATAACTCGACATAACGAGCTGGTATTCCAGCCGCGGCGTGGTTGACGTTCAAATCCGTGGTTAAGATTCCTGGAAGTATTCCCACTATGAATACAACAAGCACCTCTGCGTGCGTCACGAAGAAAGCGCGCGAGATACAGCGGAATTTAATCACGTGTTCGTGGACCATGTGACGAATGACGCCGCGCCAAACGCGGTGCGAAAACAATTTTCGACCGTAATTACGAAGCTACAGTGGTAAATGGAGCTTGCGTGTCCACTACCTTCCTTTTCCCAGTATTTATCGTTCTATCTCCTGAATTGGTATCACCTTTATTTCATTCAAAAACGTTAAAAATAATTCGAAGCTTCTTACTTCTATTATCATAATTACCGAATATAATCTCTTGGAAAGCGTCTTTTCCCATTTTTTATTTTATTCATCATTTACCCCATCTGTGTCGCGCTACCCGTAATTCAAATTTATTTTAAGAAGAATAAGAGACCTTCAAAAATGATTCTTGATTTTCTGAAAACCCCAGTCATGTTACCGAGACAAAACAACAATGATTCGACTGTTTCGATTATAGAACGATCCCCGTGAATATAATTGTTCCCAGGAGCGATCGCTGGGAGCCGATTTCTGTGTCACGATCACGAACAATCCGGATGTGTGCGGTGGTACGATATGTTCGTCAGTCATCGAATACCTACTGATCCAAGGACGGTCGGTTAGCACAGCCAGAGAGGTCCTTGATCGGTTTCGCAATGATCCGGCGATATCCGCGAAAGCGAATTCGTGCATCAGGATGCAATCGTGAGAATAAGTATATTCTCCAGAAAATATATCCCCGTAGTATTGTGTTTCCCGACTCGTGCAAACACTGCACCGTTCTTTTCCCGTGCGAAGAAGAAATTAGGTTAATTAATGCGATCTCGTGATTCGGCCGTGAAGCTTATACCGCGACCTAAGTCTATTACGACCAGTGGAGTATCTAGGGGATGGAAAGGTGCAATTCTCTATTAATATTCATTTTTTTAACCGTTTAAATATTTTTATGTTAATTTATTTCAATTTAATTCAGTTTAGTTCGCTTGAGTGTGTTTCAGAGATTTGAACCATTTATATCCGAACGAAAAATATTCTGTTGGATATTAAAAAAACGATACGAAGTATTTGTACCGTTAACTTCAACTTGTACTCGTCTTGTTAAATTTCTGACCGCGTCCCTACACACAACCTGCAAAACATAACGCACGCATGGGCCCGTATGAGAAGAACCGTATGAAAAATCGAGAGCTTTTTTCCACCGAGACAGTTTTTCCCCTTGCTGATATATTTCCATTGCAAATAAGAGGCACTGGTCGAGTCACGAAAGATTTTTCCGGTCTCCCGTGTTAACCGGGGAAACTGGAGCGAGCAATATTGATAAAAGCACAGGGCTATATTTCACGACGTTGCTACGGAGGAACATTAACGACGAGGTTCAGCGATGAAATAAAATACTCCGTTATTAAGTCGTGTACGCTGTTCCAAAGTTCCTCGGTATACTAGACACGCCTTCGTATTTACGCAACGTAATAGATACGGTGGCACCTCGCTTAAAGATAGAATTCTAGACATAAATAAAGATCGAATAATCCCCACCATCTATCTTTCCTCAACAAACATTCATCCAAAACTTCGATTACTTACAGTGAGTTGACATTGCTTTTCCGTTGGAGTCTAAACATACCTCGCATTACTTTTAAAAATGATCTGAACAGGGTCGCGTTTCAACTCATTGATAATCTGGATGAATCATACTGGATGAATATGAGAAGCGACGAGTACGATTTCGTTTCAGTTAGCCAGGGACAAATGATTTCAGTTACACGGGGACCGCGGGTGGCCATAAAGCTAAGAGCTGTAGTTTTAATCAAGCACGAATGGCATTCATAAGATTCCACGTAAGAAAAGCACGGTGGAAAAGTTTCCGCGCGCGAAAAAATATTCCACGGATATTACGTTGTTCTTTACCGGGGGGTCGTAAACTTTTAATGAAAGGGGGATCTCCGTCGCGATTCGAAAGAAACGACGGGATGACTTCCATTCTACCTACGGATTCCACGGGGGAAACCAACGAGATCTCGCCATCATCGCGTTTTACGAGTATTCTATTATACTCCACGTTAGAATTTGAAGAACGGAAGCTTAGCCGAATTTTCTGGATCGAGATTAATTTGGAGACTTTTTACTTCCCCTGATTAGGTTCCAGTAGATTAATTGCATCGCGAATGATACTATAGAAAGTGTAATATAGAAAATGATAATATAGAAAATCTGTAAATAAAGAGGCTTCCCTCAAATGATGTAAAACGTGATTTCATAAGAGGCTTCAAAAAATTAAAGAGTTACATCGACTCCAAATCAACTGGCTGCTCAGGGTCACTCAGAGGCTCTCCCTTCTCCTTTTCATTCCCACTTCACCTCCTAGCTAGTAATTCAATTCCGCCGAGGCATCATTTCGTATTGTTCTGTTCTCTCCGAAGCGTATAGCTCGAAAGAATAATTTCATCTTAATGAATTGCGCCTCCTTTCACGATCTTCCGGCGCCGACGAGTCTTCCGGTCAGATTGACGATGGTCTCTCGGTCTACCGACTCCTCGAATAAGGCACGTCGGCCAAGGAAACGCAAACTGTGGACTGACGCAGAGGAAGACAAACGAGCGTGGTCGAAGCAGTGGCGCGAAAATTTCCGTTTAAATCGAGGAAAAATGTGAAATCTCAGACGGTTATCTTTGTTTCCCTTTTCCGGGGCTGCGAGTGGCAAGGAAAAGCGACGAGGAGCTGTTTGTAACAGGTTGTTACGCTGATAAACAGAGCTGGGAGTCTTTCGTTCTGCCTTCCTTTGATGGTCTGTGTCCGACACTTCTCTCACAGTGATACAAATTATCGGATTCCATTATAATGGACTCTTAAATTTCAATAACGAGGGCCAACGTTTTATTTATCACTACGTTTCGATTCTCGGCTTTGAATACGAAACCATAGATAACTCAGATTATGGAGGTTTAATACATACTAATTTTAATTCAGAATCTCGTGGAAATAGTTACAAAATCTGGGCGATACGTAGCTCGATATCGAAACAATCAACCCGAGCCTCAATTAAGATTCAGATAAAAATAATTTGAACACCGATTTACGCATCACCAACTCCATTGAGGTTGAGAATGTTCGTAGCTTCCGTTGGTGATGCATTCACTCAACAAGTTTCAAACATTTTACGCGAATTCAATGGGCACTGATAAGGAACGCTTGCTCGTTGGTTATTAGTATTGACAAAGTGGAATAGTTACGTGGACTTCGTTGGACGTTCGGAAGAGTAATGGCAAGGCTCGTTCCGCGAAATAAAGGCACAAATTGATTCAATTAATAAAGCTGAGCGACAAAATCGCCATCCCCGGAGGTTGTGCTCTTTCTTCGTGTGCGCGTCAATTCGCAACGGTGAATCTTCTTAATAGATTTCCGAGAATGAATAGGAGGTAATCCGGGGAAAAATTAATTCGCGCTTTCTCGACTATCACGTTGCAGTGGTAAAATAAAATGATGGTCGTTTCAATCTTTTTCTTCCAAAGAAACTTGGAAGATTTAGCGCATTCTGCTCGCAGCGTAAAAATGCCTATTGAATTGTACGACGTTTAATAATATCGATAATATTCGCAAAATTGATAAGGTCGCGCCGCGAAAACCTGTTCGATCCAATATTTTTTTTTGTCATCAGCGCGGTCAGCCTTCGGTTCAATTTGCATTTCCCTCGACCTCGATTTCATTTGCATTTTAATAGCGCACTATGGTTTTTAGACCCCGGGGCGATCGAACTACGAAGAATTTTACCCTTGTCGAATCTGGGTGACCAAAACGAACAAACAAAATGTTATAAATATTCATGGCTGTTCTGTGATACCGTTGAAAAAATATAGGGGACAGTATGGAAAGACGTAAAATCTGAACAAAAATATCTTTTATTTTGAATTTAACTTTGCATATAGTAGTAAAAAAGTATGCAGTCAATTGACCTTTTCTTTTTTCACGTTGTCCCCACGGGGATGGTCGTGGCAACAAACTGAGCGATCGATCAAAGTTTACCTATTTATAATTTATTCTATTATTATGCATGAAATACGATGTACAATCAAATAAATCATGAATATATGCACATAATCGTATACAAATTCCAAATCGATATTAACAAAGCAAAATATGAGTGTAGTTTGTACTGTAAAAGAGTAACGATCGTTTTCCGAGTAAATTGTTCGAGACAAACAAAGTCCAGCGTCGATTCAACTCGTATCGAGAATAAAGCTGGCCCGATCGGACCATGATACAGTTGGGGCTGAATAAGCAATTCATAAATCGACGAATCCGCGATCGATCCTGGCTCTATCTGCGGATTGCACGGTCCGCAACGTCATGAAACATATTCCAGCCAATAAATGAGCGTTATCTCGCAACCGGGCGTCTTCGAACCGCGGCACGATAAGGAAACCTGCCTCGTTATCTGTCCCAGTTTACGACGTTCCGTGGTGTTCCGCCGTGGAACCGTGAGCATGCGCGCTCCGGATCCACCAGCATCCCCTTTCGAGGATCCTCGAAAACAAACAACAACCCCGCGAGGCTGGAATCGCTCTCCAACGATTCAATCTGGCCAACCATCGAGACAAATGACTGTGATTGCGACAGAGCTGTCGATCGTATCGCAATGTAGCTCGATATTTTTCGTTTCCTTTCGACCTAAATTCTCCTTCGTCTCAACCCTCGCGCAACTTATTCTTGTAATTAATTTATGAAGTACACAATTAAGCGCGAGGAATGTGATTAACCGATGTTTCTTTTTTTTTTATTCTACACAAAAGGGGGTGCGTACGGGGGTATAAATAATTTATTAAACAGAATTATATATATAGGATACAAAGCATAACATTTTCTAAAGTAACACAAACGCGTACGTGTACGAATCGAAACCGCAATTCGATATTGTCACACCTGGTTAATTTTACGAAATATATTGTACAGAGGTTTTTCGTGCGAGCGCGCGCTATAAATGCATGAAATCCGTAGCATAATGATCGGAGATGCCACGGGGGCATCGATCGCGGAGGGGTAATTGATTAAGTAATCCGTGAAGCGGGAACGTTTTCTTCGTTGTCCGTAGCGTTCTCAAATTCGCTCCTCTTTGCTGGAATTTTAAATCGATAGAGATCTCTAATCTCCTTTGCCACGGTGTTTCCACCGATTGCTTCGAGCTAATCGGCCGCTTTCCACCGTTGGCTAACCGTTTCCTCCATATTTATTTCTACGGAAAGTTTTGTAATTTCGCAGCGTTCTCGGGCATCACGGGGTCGAATGAAAATTTCACATCAAAGGGATCGCAGACACGATTCCAGGGAACAGAGAAAGAGAGAGAGATTAAACATTAAGAGAGAACGACTTTGTGAATTCCGGGAAGTGATTTCCCAGGGTTTTCAGACCTCGCTGAATGAAAGCTGCGTTTCAAAGAGAACGCACAGGTGATTCACGGAAAGGGAAAAGAATATTAGACTTCTACTCTGCGTTCTCTTCGGTAATTCTGTCGAATCAGATCGTCCTACGTATTTTATCATCGAACATGAAGTTTTCTCGTCAGCCGTTGGTGTACTCTGTAACGTTCAATTTATAATATTGGAAGCTTCCGCGTATAAAGAAATTAATCAATTATCCAGCATACTCGACGAAATATCGAGAGATTCGTATGAAATATGTGATATTCAAATCTGACGATATTTGATTGCGTTTCGCTTCTGTAAATCCTAAAAATTCGTGAAATACGAATGAAAAAAATGAAACCGAATCTGGTATTTCGACTGTAATTTCAAATCCCATCGTCGCTGTTTCGTTTTCCCAGAAATTCATAAGGTTAACGTTGAAAACTGAATATTTTGAAACGATTGAACGAATATAATAAAACTGGATAGAATATTGCTCCGTTCAAATATCAAATGATGCACGAATTTCATTTCACAGCGTAAATTAATATTCTTCGTGGACAAACAGTGCAAAATATGCTGTCGAAAGGCGCTCGAAGGGAAGACGAACCTAATTGCGACGGCTAGGGTTTTTGTTCTGAGCGACTGGCATTCCAGAAATGCCCATCAATTAACGAATGAATCACACGCTTCGCGATGCAGATCGCCGTTCACGTGTCTGCGGAACAGTATGTATGTATGTATCTCGAAATCGACGCGTCTCGAAGGATATACGGATCGTCGATTACGCGTACAATGAATTCTCGAAGCTATTGTTCGATCACTGATAGAATCAAGGACGGGCTGTATCGAGGAGTACTCGCAACAGAGCTGTATTTGATTTTGTATCCTGAGAGAAAGGTGCGATTTTTATTTAAAAAATTGAATAGAATGCTAAATTTCGTAGTAAACTTCACGTCAAATTTTATTCCGACTCTTATCAGCGCTTGATTATTTACGCACGCGTTGAGCGAG